ATGTACCTGATGACTTGCACTCGCCCAGATCTCGCATACCCTCTCAGCATCCTGGCCCGCTTTGTGGCCGCAGGCAAACATCGACCACATCACTGGTCGGTTGCTAAGAGGGTTTTGCGTTATCTTGCAAGTACATCGGGCATGGGGCTAGTGCTGGGAGGACGCGGGTATCACAGGATCGAATGTGTCGAGGAAAGGTTGCACTATCAATTGATACAAGGCGCTTTTATACTTCCAAAGTACATCAGGTAACCAGGTTTATTCTATCCCTAGGGAATAGACCCTTCTAGAAAATAGAATCACCCTGCGTATAGCCACGCGAGGTTATTGGCTTTAAGGGATTACGGTAGGATTACGCTAGTTATAGCGTACTAGTACATCCCGAGCCTGGTCGGTGATATAATGATAAGAACAGGATATACCAAAGGTTTATGGAAAAAGAAGGAATGGGAATCCAAATGGAATGAGAGAAAGACCAGATGAATCAAGATAAAAAAAAAGGAATGAAATGGAAAGGAGAAAGGAATGGAACGAGATCGTACTCTCACACTTCCCCCCCTCAAAGCTGGGTGGTAGACGTAACACCCTGCTTGACAAGGTAGTCGCAAAGAGGACGACAAGCGTGATCCATCGCGGATTCAGAGACCCAGTTATTCTCTGAAGGATCATAACCCTTCCAACGGATGAGAAGCTCCACGTTGCCATTCCGTCGACAGCGGTGAGCAAGCACGGTCTCGACCTCGTACTCAGGTTCATCATGGACGAGGACGGGCGGCGGCGGCGGCGGTTGGCGTCAAGAGAAGACCGTGTTGGGATCTTGGTAGGGCTTCAAGAGTTGGACATGGAAGGCGTTGTGAATCTTCCAGGTAGCTGGCAGGCGTAAGCGGAAGGTAACAGGAGTGACATGTGCTTCAACGAGAAAAGTCCCGCAAAAGCGCGGTCACAGTTTGGATGGGAGATGGTTGATGTCAAGATTGCGTGTGTCGAGTAGTACTCGGTCTCCCACGGTGATGGTGTGGTCTGTGCGGTGGCGATCGGCCTGGCGCTTTTGTTGCTGCTGAATGTCGAGAAGGCGCTTGTGGGTCCGATCCCAAAGTTTGTGCATGGTCGTGATGAAATCATGAGCGGGTTGGACTGTGGCTGGTATGGTTGGCTGTTGAGGTGTGAGTGGGTGGCGTCCGTAACAGAGGAAGAACGGTGTCTGTCCAGTGGCAGCGTGAGTAGCATTGTTGTAGGCAAACTCCAGGACGGGCAGATGCAAGTCCCATTTGGAGATGCCGTCCTTGCAGGCTGCGCGGAGGAGTTGCTCCACAATTTGGTTGAGGCGCTCGGTCTGTCCATCTGTCTGCGGATGGTAGGCGGATCCAAATGGAATGAGAGAAAGACCAGATGAATCAAGATAAAAAAAGGAATGAAATGGAAAGGAGACAGGAATGGAACGGGGTCGTACCTCACAGCAGGCCAGTGGTCCTTACTGGGCACACAGACGCTTCTTGGGCAGACAACGCTGAGACCCTCCGGTCCTCCCAGGGCTACTGCTTCAGCCTTGGTTCTGGTGCCATCTCGTGGAGGTCCACTCGCTCCTCGTCTGTTGCTCATTCTAGCTTTGAGGCTGAGATCTACGCCGGTGCCATGGCGGCACAGGAGCTCCGCTGTCTGACCTTCTTGCTTGCCGACTTAGGTGAGCGGCCTAGCTCTGCCCCGGTTCTGTACGCTGACAACAGGGTCATGATCCTCCTGTGTCAAGAGCCTCAACTTGAGGGCAGAGCGACGCACATCCAGCTACGGTACTTCCTCCTGCGCGAGCTTCAGCGGCATCGCCAAGCCCGCGTAGTACACTTGGCCTTGGGTGCCAACATTGCTGATATCTTTACTAAGGCGCTTCCGCCTAGAGATCATCAGCGGCACTGCTTGCAATTAGGTCTAGTCCCTGTTGACTCTCACTTGCTAGGCCCTTGATTGTATACTCCTTTCTATTTATACCTTGCAGACTGGCCTTGTGGCCTTTCCTCTAGTGCTTGGACTAGTTGTGCCGTCCTGGTTTGCTCTGTCTTGCTTGTACTCTTGCTGACTGGTCTTCAGGCCCCTGCCTCTGAGGTTGGACTAGTAGTGCCACCCTGAGCTGCGTGTTTCTTGCTCAGCACTACCCCTTATCTAGCCTAGGGGGTGTGTCAACTTATACATATATTGTTATGTAGAAGTTATAGGCTAGATAGGGTATGCTCTTAGTGGGTACAACCCAAACTCTATATTTCCCTTGTTCTCATTTCTTCAAATTATACTTTCTAGTCTTGACATGTGTCCCTGCGTCTTAGCCGTAAGATATGCGTATGGTCCAATTTGAACTCACCCCAAATCGAAATGGGCCCACCTTGCATACGAACCATGTGCGAAGTAACAGAATCACGATTTTTCGCAACCAATAAAACAATTGTTTGTTTTACCCAACCAGCCCAAATTCTGACCATTAACTTGCGTGAACTAATTTGGGATTTGGGCTTTAACGTGAAAATGACACAAAACACATTGATGGTGGGGTTTGAACCCAAGACTTCCGTACGCGAAATCACCAGAGGTATTTTCGGGCCAGGGGTTACTCAGGGTTAAAAGAACAAGTAGTTTCAGGATAATTGTGGAAAAACATGTCTTGTAACTATCCCCCAGGTATCTTTTGGTCTGCTTACAGAATGGCTGTTCAAGCGAGTCAGGTACGGGACATCAACTTTTTGCTGATGTGCTCTGTTCGAAGGGGGCTGTGTGACGCAGACAGAGTTGCACTTAGTGAGTTGCGGTGCTATCTGTTGCGCACTGTACATGGTCGGTGCCTCTAGCATATGCTGCGATGGGAAGTCGCAGGTTTCCTCGCACATATTTGTTCGACGTTTCATGGGTGTATTGCAAATCCCAGAACGTAAACCATTCCTCAGATCAGAAACAAGGGACACTCTGCTGGCGGGGTAACATCGGACTCCCATCATCCACCTAGGACATCTATTGTAAGGAACTTCCATTCCTTACTGAGTCGCCCGCTACTGCGTACACCCGAACTCTTCGACTCGTCACGTTCGGCCTACATTTTCGGCCCAACCCTTTCTCGAGTCGCGTCCGACAGCGTCGCCACATTGCCGAACCTAACCACGTCCCGAGGTTATCGCCCTATTACGTCTACGCCTATATAACCTCGTGCTTTCATTGCAATAGCAACCTTGTATTCTCACGTTATAGTTCATTGACATCTTCTAAATCATAACAGCTGGTATCAGAGCCCGACCTTTCTTGGATCCTTCCGTTTTCCCCCGTTAATTAGTTAAGGGTGGTGAGAGGGGATTAACACGGCTGCACAGCAGTTGTCTTCGATCGTAAATATTTTTACGTCAACAACTACAGCGTGTGCGCTAGTTTCTGCCCCGTCCTGACCGCCATGGCCCCGGTGGACTCGACGGTTGAGGAACAGACAACCTCGACCGCTGCGAACTCTGCCCGGGAAACAGTAAACCTGCAAGCATTAATGCAGCAGTTGAATAATTTGACAAGCGTCGTCAACAACCTCCGTGACGAAAACCAACGACTTCGCCAGGCGCAGGAAAGGCGTTCAGAGGAACCGGGCGACGATGCACGAAGCGAGGCGGGTGAGCAGCAACCGACACCAGTGGAGCTAGCACGGCTAGCCGCAACAGCCCCTCGCTCGACAAGTGGCGGCGTGAGATATCAGCAACCCGCTCCTTTCGACCCAGCTAATAAAGGCGTGACGGTGCGGCAGTGGATATTCGCCACGAATATCTACTTCAACGCAGGGGGCATCCGAGACGACCAGAAGCGGATCAGCCATGCGTTGACACTGCTACAAGGGGCTGCCCTACAGTGGTGGAAGGTCATCGTCGACTCAGCGGCAACTCGCACAGAAGGACAGCATGAGTGGTCCGAAGAATTCAGCGACGAGGACGAAGCAGACTTGCTGTTTGGTGCAACTCACATTCGCACGTGGGCAACGTGGTGCGCAGAGCTTTGCAAGCGGTTAGAGCATGCTCCTGACTTAGACAAAGCGCGCGAGACTTTACGCATGTGGAAGCAGCTGCGATCTGTGTCGGACTACACCGCGTCATTCTTGACGTTGGTGGATCGATGTGGCTACATGCACGAGTTGGAGAAGGTCGACAGGTACATGGGCGGGTTGAAGCCTGAAATACAGTACCAAATAAAATTACAACGACATGCGATGCGGTTACAAGACTTCATCCAACTCGCCGAAGCCGCTGATTCGCTCACGAAGCCGAGGACGAACTTCTACGACGGAGGTCACCCTCGAGAACAGTACCAGCGCGCCACGATAAAAGGGATGGACGCAGTGGATATTTACGCAGTTGCTCCGCGAAATACGGGGCTATGCTACCACTGTGGCCGACCGGGTCACATCAAACGCAACTGCCAAGAGTTCATAGCCACCCAGAATTCTATGGGGAAAAAGCCGGAGGAGCGACCGGGAAATGGGTCGCGTCAGTAAGTACCAGGCCCCTTACTGACGGGCAGGCTTCTTCGCCCGAACCACACAGTCCCCACCGGGTCGTGATCCCGATTGCTGCAATCGACCGGACCCAGACAAATAAGGGGGACGAAACTGCTGATCACCCTGTGTTGGTGGGGGGTAAAGTCAACGGGGTGTTGCTGAAAATATTCGTGGATGGAGGTGCGAGTCACAGTCTCATACAGCTAGACAGGGCTAAGAAAATGGGTATCCCCTTATTAAAGTGCCTACCCGAATTTGACGCAAGACTGGTGGATGGAACACCGCTGGCTATACGGGAGCGGGTGGAGCACGTCAATTTCCACTGCGGCGAGCATGTAAAATTTCGGATGGGGCTGCTGGCGACTACACTCGACGGGTGCGACATGCTGCTGGGAAGGGATTGGCTGCGACAGTACAACCCGAGAATCGACTGGACGACGGGCAGCTGCAGCATCAAAATCGAGGGGCACTATCACGAGTTACCGAAATGGACGGGACCCCGCATGCGTAGTACCCAAGTCCACGCGATCACCTTCAAGCGCGCGATAAAAGCGGGAGCAGCAGCATACGCCGTCGATCTTCGCGAAGTGACAGCGCCGATAACAGCGGAAGATATCACGAAGCTGTGTGAAGCCGTTCCTCCGGATTTAGCGGAACTCATTCGAAAATACCCCGAGATTTTCCCGGACGATCTACCCACCGGACTTCCGCCAAGCCGACCCGAAGACCATCGCATAGAGCTGGAACTAGGCGCACAACCGATAGTACAGCGACAATTTCGGCTCAGCCAACCTGAACTCGAAGAATTGCAGCAGCAGCTGGATTACCTCCTGACGAAGGGTTTTATCCGACCCAGCACGTCCCCATACGCCGCCCCGATACTGTTCACACCGAAAAAAGATGGAGGATTCCGCATGTGCATCAACTACCGCGCGCTCAACCGCATCACCATCAAGTCCCGTTACCCGATCCCGCGAGCCGACGATCTCCTCGACCAACTTCGCGGAGCCAAGTTCTTCTCAAAAATCGACCTGCGAGGAGGTTACCATCAAATTCGCGTCGCCGCCGACGATTGTCACAAACCCGCTTTCCGAACCCGCTACGGCAGTTACGAATACCCGGTGATGCCCTTTGGCCTCACGAACGCTCCCTCGACTTTTCAGATGACTATGAACGGTGTTTTCCCGCGAACTCCTGGATAAATGCGTAATTATCTACCTCGACGACATCCTCATCTACAGCAGCAGCAGGGAGCAGCACTTAAAGGATCTTGATGCAGTCTTCACGCTGCTGCACAAGAATCGCCTCATCACGAAAGGGTCTAAGTGCGATTTTCTTAAGCAGGAGTTGGAGTTTTTGGGACACGTCGTCTCTACCGAAGGCGTGAAAATCGACCCCAAGAAAATCAAGACTATCCAGGAATGGAAGCCGCCGACCAACCCTAAGGAACTGCTGAGTTTTCTGGGTTTCGTCAACTACGTCCGCCGCTTCATCCCCAATATGGCTGGGTTATCTGCTCCACTAACTGACCGCCTGAAGGATCACGACTGTTTTTGGTGGGGAGAGAAGCAGCAAGCTGCATTCGACCAACTCAAAATCGCCCTCACGTCGCCGCCCATACTTCGCATCTCCGATCCCGACCGTCCATACGAAGTCGTCACCGTCGCCAGCGACATCGCCATCGGTGCAGTTCTCCTACAGGATTTCGGCGACGGGTTACAACCAGTCGCCTACGAATCACGGAAGCTGCAGGGCGCGGAGAAGAACTATACAGTACACGACAAGGAAATGCTGGCGATCGTGCACGCGTTCAAAACCTGGCGGTGCTACCTGACAGGAGCTGATGTCACGGTGCGGACGGACCACAAATCCTTACAGTATCTGCGCGCCCAACCGAATCTCAACCCGCGACAGATCCGATGGCTCGATTTCCTCGAGTCCAATTTCCATTACACCATCACCTACAAACGGGGTGCCAATAATATCGCCGATGCCTTAACCCGCCCTACTGTCCATACCGCCGCGATACTAGTCGCCCAGACCAACCCATTACTTACGGGACTATTCACCCACGGCTACAAGATCGATCCCTTTTTCCGCTCAGCCATCCATCAACAGCATACCACCGCCACCGGGCCATATTTTTATAAGCGTGGTACTTCTCGCATTTGGGTGCCGAGCTACGATTTACTTCGTACCCTCCTAATCCAAGAATCCCACGACAACCCTACCTCATGACATTTCGGCTTGATAAAACCACGAAGATGTTGCAGCGGAATTATTACTGGCCGAACATGGCCGATGACGTGCGCAAGTACGTGTCCTCCTGCACTGCCTGCCATATTATGAAATCGTCGCATCAGCGAGCAGCCGGACTACTACAGCCGTTGGATCCGCCCGGGCGACCCTGGCAACAGGTCACGATGGACTACGTGACAGGACTACCGGCCGGTCCCAGCGGAAACGATGTCATCCTCGTGGTCGTTGACCAACTCACGAAAATGGCGCACTTCATCGCCTGCCAACAGACAATCACAGCCGAACAAACCGTGCGACTGTTCCTCACGAACGTCATCCGACTGCATGGACTGCCCTCCGCCATCATTTCAGACCGAGACCCGAAATTCACATCGAATTTCTGGCGCCAGCTGTGGGACCAATTCGGCACCAAACTCCAATTTTCATCCGCCTACCACCCACAAACCGACGGGCAGACCGAACGCGTCAACCAGACCATGGAACAACTGATTCGCACTACCTGTACTGACCCATCAACATGGGAGCAATCTCTTCCGCTGCTCGAATTCGCGTATAATAACGCGACCTCCGCCACAACCAACCAGTCCCCATTCTTCCTCAACTACAGACAGGACCCAGTAGTACCCTCTACACCGACCATCGAGTCACCCGTGCCCTGGTCCCAGAAATTGCTGAAGACATTCTCGCCGCTCGAGAAAAAGCAGCTGAAGCCATAAAAAAAACCAACCTGGTTGCAAGCCGACAAGCCGATCGTCATCGCCGTGACGTCACTTACAACGTGGGAGATCTAGTCCTTCTCGACACCCGCAATCCCGAGCAAACTCCGACCCAGATTCTGCGGACCTTTTCAAGTGACCAACCTCGTGACACCTGTCACTGTTCACCTTCGACTACCGGCTGATTGGCGCCACCACCTGGCTTTCCACGCCAGTCTTCTCCGACCCTACGTTCCGAGTTCGTCGGACTTGGCACGCAACTGCGGTGTCCCGCAACTAACGCCTTTGCAGGAACCGACGACTGAGCCCCTGAAAATCCTCGGCCATCGCGTCACAACGCAGCTGAATCGTCGGATGGTTGATTTCCTCGTCCGCTGGCGCGATCGCACGTCCGAAGACGACAGCTGGGTGTCTCTCGTTGATCTAGAATCACATCCGATTCTAACAGCGTATTATCGGCGTCGTAACGTCTCCGATGCCCACAGCCTCGTTTAGGAGGGGGGGTAGTGTAAGGAATTTCCATTCCTTACTGAGTCGCCCGCTACTGCGTACACCCGAACACTTCGACTCGTCACGTTCGGCCTACATTTTCGGCCCAACCCTTTCTCGAGTCGCGTCCGACAGCGTCGCCACATTGCCGAACCTAACCACGTCCCGAGGTTATCGCCCTATTACGTCTACGCCTATATAACCTCGTGCTTTCATTGCAATAGCGACCTTGTATTCTCACGTTATAGTTCATTGACATCTTCTAAATCATAACATCTATCCGCTCCAGTTTAGGTTGGAGTTGCCCAACCCGACGGATTACGTCCGAAATGAAGTCGGATGTCGTGAACTAAGATGGCTTGCTTCGATTAGGGATCATGTAGATCATTTTCGCACCAATGATTCAACAAGGTCGGTACGTGGGGGTCTTGAGGATCGCCGACCAATTGGTTGTGGTCTTTACCTTTTTTTAGTGAATGCTAGAGGTTGCGACATTTATTATTTACGCTTATACAATTGGTGGAACATCGTACACGCTGCGTATGTGGGAGTTGCGCCTACCGAATCATTGCCCTGTGCGAATGTGTGCCTTTGGGGTCGTCGCACTAGTCGTGTCTGACCTTTACACCTGTTCTCCTATATTGTCTCACCCGGAACAGTCTATTTTGCAATCCCACCTACCAGATTCTCAGCGTGACTCGAGTTGACACTGAACCTGATTGGCTGTAGTCCGAACGATAGCGAACAACCAAGTCGAATTTTGACAATTGCGAGTTTCGTAGCTGGGACGTCGCGCGGGCAACTTATCGAATGCATGAGCGAGACTTTATAACCAAGTATCAGTGTTTTACTGTGGGTTTTCCCCTTCAAGGTCCCGTTTGCCCGTGTTTTACGTTTTCCTGCTTACAGGCTCAGGCCGCGTGCAAAAAAGGAGGAAATAAATGGGAGAAAAGGTGTAAGTGGTTTGGAAGGTGAGAGAAATCCAGCCATTGCTTGTGTCACAAACTGCAGATTTGCCGCACCGCACATGGTCGTGTCGCAAGGCGGCCAGCATGTTGCGCCGTGCCCAGCCAATCAACGGACAACGCGGCCAGCGCCGCCCTCCCCATCCCCCCCCACCCCACTCCATGCCCCCCTGTCGTCTGTCAGTTGATTGGACAACTTCAGTCGCCAGGGTAACAAACTGGCTGTGTTCACCCTAGCATCAGGCAATCCCAAGTTCCAACGCCCACCCACCACACAACAACCGAGCTCCCTACTGTTCCTGATGGAGTTCCCAAGGGGCAAATTTCTCAACCAGCAGCAGCAGCAACTATGGCGGCAAACCACCTGTCATTTTTGGGCCAGGCCAGGAGAAACGCCTCTAGAAGTAGAGTAATTGCTCTACTAATTCGCTAGTCTGGATTTCGGTTAGATTCCCATCCTAATGAAGTTGTTGTGATAGCTTTGTCATCTAACGATCAGATCAGACGTCAGGTTTTTCCCGAGCATATCTAACCCTAGAAGCTGGAAGACAGCACCCGAGCATAGCCCTCTCGAGCGTCCATCCTGGTGCACACGACACGACTCTTTCAATCCACGCCTCTCATGCCCGTCTCCCAGGGGCCTACTTGGCAGTCACCTTATTATAAGTCCCAATTGTCGGCTTTCGCCCTAGTCGTCGTCTTGATTCAAATTAGTGGCTTTCCTTTTACTAATCTCTGCAGTCTTTGTGATCTTCGTAGTTCCAATCGGTAGATTCGTCCGGGTAATCGCGGCCGTCCCATTCAACCTTGGAAATGGCGGCACTCTTTTTACACTTAGCTCTGTCGACGCAGCTGTAGCAGCGGGCAGCCAGCCAGCGAACAGCATGTGGAGGCGAATGCATGTGCGAGAACAGTGGAAGTTACCCGTGCGAGTACAATGGCAGTTACTCTTCGCGGCGCTCGCGCTGACGCTACTGACGCTTCACTCCGCAAACGCCGAGGTATGTCTCGACCAGCGAAGCGTTCGGTTGCAATGCTCGAAATTTGAGCGGTACCTCGATAGTGCAGCCCTCCCATGCGTGAGGAGTCTATTTTTGAGGCGCCTCAAAAATAATTTTGAGCGGTACCTCGATAGTGTAGCCCTCCCATGCGTGAGGAGTCTATTTTTTAAGCGCCTCAATAATAACTTTGAGCGGTACCTCGATAGTGTAGCCCTCCCATGCGTGAGGAGTCTATTTTTGAGGCGCCTCAAAAATAAATTTGAGCGGTACCTCGATAGTGTAGCCCTCCCAGACTCAAGTAGGACGATCCCAGTGCCCCATCAACAGCTTCTTCATTCAAACGAGTTTCTTGTTTTCTGATATTTTCTACCTCTCTCTCATTCAATATCCCACTATCCTGGTACCTTGCTGCCAAACATGTGACTCCAGGCTCTTCATCGCATCAACATTTCCCCCCACCCCCCACCCCCACCCCCATCCACCCCCCACCTGTGGTTACCACCAAAACTCCTGTGTAACTCGTACGCGTCGCGAACAGTCTGTCGCAAAGCAGTTGTCGCGAGACTTGGACTCTCCGACCCAAGCCGAGCTTAAAGCCCTGGTTCCCAGGAGGCGCCTGGGGTTCTACTTATTCGCACGAGGAGGGCAGGATAAAGTCTTGGGCGATTTCCTTGTTAAAGATGCAGCCAAACCGCAGAAACCGTCCCTGCAGCTGCAGCAGCCACTTGAGCAGCAGCGAGAGAAGCGCCAGCAGGAGCAGCAACAGCAGCAGCAAGAGCAAGGAAAGGAGCATCGAGGGGGGGGAGAAGGGGATGAGGAGCAAAGAGTAGGGCAGATGTTGGAGAATGAGCAGGCATTAGCCCAGGCGTTGGGGACACGACAGCATACAGCGCCAATGCCGCAGCAAGTGCAGGGTGAGACGGAGACGGAAGCAACGCAGGAAGAGCAGGAAATACCGGGAAAGAAGGCGAAGAAAGACGAGGGTCAGAGGAAAGAAGGGTTAACGGAGGAAGAGAGGAAGGACGATCAAAGTAGCAAGGAGGGAGAGCAAAATAGAAATGAGGGAGAGCAAAATAGAAATGAGGGAGAGCAAAATAGAAATGAGGGAGAGCAAAATAGAAATGAGGGAGAGCAAAATAGAAATGAGGGAGAGCAAAATAGAAATGAGGGTGAGCAAAATAGAAATGAGGGAGAGCAAAATATAAATGAGGGAGAGAGGAAGCAGGAGCAAGGTGATGGTGGTGGTGGGGAGCACTGGGAAACAGGAGACTGGGAACTCAGCTCAGGCCACAGCAAGGCTCCTGAGACCGCCTCCGCACAGGAAAACGCGAGGAGAAGAGAAGATGCCGGAAGTCCAAGCTACAGGCAAGGGTCAGGGTTTGATCGGGCTGCAGCAAGGCGTTCTATGGTGCAGCGGAGAGAGGACGCGTGCTGGAGCAAGGAGGAGAGGCAGCTATACCATACGGTAAGATGCAGTGAGAGTCGCACAGGCAGGAATTGCAGCGGCGGCGTATGATTGCAGCGGCGTATGATTGCAGCGGAGAGAGGACGCGTGCTGGAGCAAGGAGAGGCAGCTGTACCACACGGTAAGATGCAGTGAGTGCGTGTGTGCCGCATGGCTTGAGAGTGTGTTAGTTGCACATGGTGGCTGGGATAGAGCCAGGGCGAGGCGTTGTATGCTGCAGCGGAGAGAGGAGGCGTGCTGGAGCGAAGGGGAGAGGCAGCTGTACCAGGACACGGTAAGATGCTCTGGGAGTTGCAAAGGGGAAGGGGGCTGGTGGCTTGGGCAGACTGAATACGGCGAGGCATCGTCTGGTGCAGCGGGGAGAGGAGGCTTGCTGGAGCAAGGAGGAGAGGCAGCTGTACCACCCGGTAAGTCACAGTGACAGTGAGAATCGCACAGGGGAAGGGGGCTGGTGGCCCTTTCTGGATTGAACAGTAATCTGCGGGAAGTCCGAGCTACAGGCAGGGGTCAGGGTTTGATCGGGCTGCGGCGAGGCGTTATACGATGCAGCGGAGGGAAGGTGCGTTCTAGCGTGGTCCCCCATACCAATGCAGGCCATCCCATACCCACTTCGACGGCCTCCCTTGCAGCAGTGAGGGAACAGCAAGAGGCGATGCAGAGGGAGTGCATGGGCGTTAAGGACTGGGAGTGCATATACGTCTGTGCATGTGTGTGCTATGCTTGCGTGTACACCGCCCCAACCGAAACCCACCAAGCAACATAGAAACCCATACTCTTCTCCCTCCCTGTGCACAGGCGAGTCCAACCACCCCCTCAGCGGCATTCCTGGCAGCAGTGCGCGAGCATGAGGCGATGCCAAGGGGGGATATGACTTTTGCCACAACCCAACCCACCAACATGCAAACCCACCCTCTTTCTCTCTCCCTGTGCACAGGCGAATCCAAACCCCCCTTCAGCGGCGTTCCTGGCAGCAGTTGCAGAGCATGAGGCGATGCAGAGGGAGTGCATGGGCATGGGCGTGAAACACTGGGAGTGGGTGCGGACTGGCAACTGGTGAGTGTGTGTGTGTGTGTAAGTGTGTGTGTGTGTGTTAGTGTGTGCGCGTGTGCGTGTGCGTTTGTGTGTGCGTGTGCGTTCGCGTTTGCGTGTGCGTTTGCGTTTGCGTTTGCGTGTGCGTTTGCGTTTGCGTGTGCGTTTGCGTGTGCGGGTGCGGGTGCGTGTCCGTGTGCGCGCACGTGCGTGCATGCGTGCGTGCGAGCGTGCGTGCGTGCATGCGTGTGTCTGTGTATGTGTATCTCTCTGTATTATGGGGGGGTTGGTGGGCAGAGCACGAGGCGATGCCGCGGGAGTGCACGCGTGAACCTTTGTGGTCCTGCGTATGTGTGTACGCGCTTCTACATGCTTGAGGAGTCTATTTTTGAGGCGCCTCAAAATAGACTCCTCCTGCATATGTGTATACGCGCTTCTACATGCATGCTTGTTTTGTTTGTGGCACCTGTGCTCCTTGTGCACATGCATTTGAGTCGACTCAAAAGCAGACTCATTACACGCAGTTTTTACATAGACAATACCTTTGTGGTCCTGCACATGTGTGTACACGCTTCTACATGCACGCTTGTTTTGTTTGTGGCGCCTGTGCTCCTTGTGCGCATGCGTTTCCGCCTGTATGCACTCCTCCATACGTCTCCTCACAACAACAGGGACAAGGACAGGCCGTGATACGGAGCAGACAGGAAGCCGTGCCGATACATCCACGCTCCACTCTACTCTTCCCTCAATGCAAGCTTGCATTGTATCCATGTATGTGTGTGTGTGTGTGTGCGTCTGTATATGTGTATCCATGCGACTCCCCACACCAACAGGGAGGACAGGCTGCAGTACGGAGCAGCCAGGAAGCCGTGCTAGCCAGTACATCCACGTTCCACGCTACTCTTCCCTCAATGTCTGCCTGTACCCGTGCATCCATGCGTCTCCCCACACGCACAGGGACAAGGACAGGCCGCGCTATGGAGTAGACAGGAAGCCGTGCCAGTACATCCACGTCCCGATTTTCCCTCGAGGTACTCAATTGGTACTCCTCTCCTCTCTCTTGCTCCGCCGTTTCACTTTTTTCTCCTGTCTCTCGAACCACGTTATCATCCTCCCCTTGCCGTCACCCATCGGGTCATCATCATCGCCACGCCCTGGTCCTTTGGCCCCCGTCTCCCTTCTCTTCCCATTCTTGCCTCTCTTACCCCTCCAGCCTCCAGCCTCCAGGTCCGGGCAATAGTCTGGTAAACCATGTAGACGCATTTGTCCTGCACTCGTCACCATCAGGCCATCATCACCATCATCATCGCCACGCCCTGGCCCTTCCTCTCCCCTCCCTCCCTCATCTCTCCTCTCTCTCCTTCCCTCTCATCATCCCACCAAGTCTGCTTTTGAGGCGCCTCAAAACCACGCCCTGGTCCGTCCTCTCCCCTCCCTCCCTCATCTCTCCTCTCTCTCCTTCCCTCTCATCATCCCATCAAGTCAGGGCAATCGCCTAGTGAATCGCATCAACGCCTTTGACCTCGCACTCGTCACCCATCGAGCCGTCATCTCCACTCCCTGGTCATTCGCCGTCCCCCACTCATTGCCTCCCTCCATGCTCCTCCTTTCTCAAATCGAACTTTGTATTCTCCCCCTTTCTCTCTCCCTCCCTCTCACACACCCATCAGCCCTGGGCAATCGCCTGGTGAACCACGTGAACGCCTTTGTCCTCGCTCTAATCACCCACAGAGCAACCATCGCCACGCCCTGGTCCTTCTTCTCCCCTCCCTCCCTCTCCTCTCTCCTCTCCTTTCTTCCCTCTCATCTGACCATCCCATCAGGCCTGGGCAATCGCCTAGTGAACCACGTGAATGCCTTTATCCTCGCACTTGTAACCCAACGAGCCATCATCACCACTCCCTGGTCCTTTGTCGTCCGCCGCCTCTGCAACCCCTTCAACTCCACCTCCTGGGCGCTGCCCTGGCACGTGCACAAGTAAGGCTTGATAATAGACCACATAAAGGCTAAGTTTTTTGACAGACATCCACAACAGGAGTGGTAATGCCTAGATTCACGAGCCATCATCGCCACTCCCTGGTCCTTTGTTGCTCACCTCTGCAACCCCTCCAACTCGACCTCCTGGACTCTACCCTGGCACTTGCACAAGTAAGGTTACCCTCTCCCCCGCCACCCCCCCCGCCCCCGGTAACTCGTTGTGCGCCGCTTCTGCAACCCCTTCAACTCCGCTTCCTCTCCGCTTCCTCTCCACTTCCTCTCCGCTTCCTCTCTCCTTCCGCTCTCCTTCCTCTGTCCTTCCTCTCCACTTCCTCTCCGCTTCCTCTCTCCTTCCGCTCTCCTTCCTCTGTCCTTCCTCTCCACTTCCACTCCTCTTCCTCTCTCCTTCCGCTCTCCTTCCTCTGTCCTTCCTCTCCACTTCCTCTCCCCCTCCTCCTCTCCCTTTCCTCTCCACTTTCTCTCCCCTTCCTCTCCCCTTTCTCTCCCCTTCCTCTCCCCTTTCTCTCCCCTTCCTCTCCCCTTCTTCCTGCAGGACGTTCATTAACTCGGTTAAGAACCAGTCGGTGGAGTTTAAAGACCTCGCACGGTTGCACCTCTCCTCCACGACCGTCTTCCTTATTGCCCCCCTGTTCCCTCCCGGCATTTCCTCTCCTTTTCCCTCAGGTCGTTCGTTAACTCGGTCAAGAACCAGTCGGTGGAGTTTAAAGACATCGTTAAGTACCACGCCAGGCAAGGAGAGCTGAAAGAAGGAGAAGCGGCAGGAGCAGCAGCAGCAGGAGCAGGAGGAGGAGGAGGAGCAGAGGGACTATTGGAACTGTCTAGGGATGAGGTGGATGCAGTGGTGCGCAACCATACTGTCAACATCCACCTGGCTGGCAGGTGAGGGTGAGGTGAGGGGAGGGCAGGGGGGGAAAGGTGGAGTTTTTGCTTTCAAGGGGGGGGTGGATGCAGGGGTGCGTAGCCTTACAGTCAGCATCCACCCGGCCAGCAGATGAGGGTTGTGAGGGAAGTGGGGAGGGCTGAGGCTTACTAGGCAGGGAAGAAGTAGATGATATGGTGTGAACCGATACAGTCAGCATCCACCTGGCCGGCAGGTGGAGGGGAGGGGAGGGCAGGGTTGCGAGGGAAGTGGGGAGGGCTGAGGCTTGCTAGGTTGGAATGCGGTACTCCTGTACTCCCGTGCTCTTTTAATTTGACAGGTTTGATAGACATGGATTCTCCCTCCTTGCCGCCCCCTGCTGCAGATAGATGAAGATGCCCTTATTGGTGCAAAAGGTGTGGATGCTCCCTCCTTGTCCTTTCCATTCTCTATACCCCAGGGGCATGCACACCTTTTGCACCGATGCATGGGCGGCCATTGACTCAGCTGTCTTCTGGAGCATGGCCATCGACGTCTACTTCGTGCCCAGCCTCTACTACCTCCCCAGATACGCTGTGAGTATGCCCTTAGCCGCACACGCCGTGAGTGTGCTCTCAGCCACATACACCGTGAGTATGCCCTTAGCCGCATACGCTGTGAGGGCGCTCTTAGCCGCATATGTGAGGGCGATCTTAGCCACATACGCTGTGAGGGCGAACTTAGCCGCATACACTGTGAGGGCGCTCTCAGCCGCATACGCTGTGAGGGCGCTCTTAGCCGCATACGCTGTGAGGGCGCTCTTAGCCGCATACGCTGTGAGGGCGCACTTAGCCGCATACGCTGTGAGGACGCTCCTTATCACCCCCCTTTCACACCGCTCGCGTCCTTCCACACCGCGACAACCGGCTCTGGCCTCCCACCCCCTTACCTTATCCACCCTCTCTCCCCGTGCAGCCAGCTCTCACGCTCTTGTCTTACGTAAATTATTTTGTCGACTAAAAAATCCCCGACAACCGGCTCTGGCCTCCCACCCCCTTATTTTATCTCCCTCTCTCCCCGTGCAGGCAGCTCTCACCTCACCCCCTTACCACCCTCTCTCCTTTCTCCCCCACCAGGCAGCCCTCAATAGATTATTCCCCGACCACCGTGTCTTGACTCACACCGCTCATTGAAGTTTCCCCCCTTCTCCCCCCTTCTCCCCCCTTCTCCCCCCGTCTCCCCCCTTCTCCCCTCTTCTTCCCCCGTCTCCCCCCTTCTCCCCCCTGATCCCCCCTTCGTCACAAATCGCCCCCCGTTCTCCCCCGCCAGGCAGCCCTAAATAGATTATTCCCCGACCACCGCGTTTTGACTCACACCGCTCGCTTCCTTCTGCACCCCGACAACCAGCTCTGGGCAGCAATCACTCGTCTCTTCCACGCCAACCTGGCACACCACTCCCATAGAGTCGGCATTCAGGTATGCTTGTAGCCGGCGCACCGAGGGGGGCAATGGGCGGGCCACGGCACGCGGATCAAGCGAGTGGCTGGGCGGCGATCACTCGTCTCTTCCACGCCAACCTGGCGCACCACTCCCACCGCGTCGGCATTCAGGTAATCTTGCAGTGAATGCATGGATGGTTGCGGGGGGCTTGCGAGATGCAGGCGGAAAATTGGGATACTGGGCGGCAATCACTTGTCTCTTCTTCCATGCCAACCTGACGCCATATTCTCACCGCATCGGCATCCAGGTAAACGAGGGTAAGTGAGCGGTGTACGGATCAGATCAGGTAACCCTGTCTGTCTGTCTGTCGGTCTGTCTGCCCGCCCACCTGCCTGCCCCCCCGCCCGCCCACCCGCCCACCCGCCCGCCCGCCCACCCGCCCACCCGCCCACCCGCCCACCCGCCTGCCTGCCTGCCTGTCTGTCCCCTCCAATTTTTCCACCATCCTCAGGTCCGATCAGCCCGTAAGGTCCATCTCCCTCTGGCTGAACGTCTCCTCTCGTGCACTGCTGGCCTCACTTTCTCCTCTCCCTCCCCCTCCCTCCCCTTCACTCCCTTCTCTTCCTAAATGCAACACTACGAGCCGATCGGCTCGTGTTGATCGGCTCGTATTCTGCCCATTATCAGGTCCGATCGGCTCATGTTGAGGCGCCTAAAAAATAGACCCCCCCACTCCCCCCCCCTTCCCCTCCCCCCACTTCACTCCCTTCTCCCCCAAACTGTAACACTACCGGTATTCTGCTCATTATCAGGTCCGATCGGCTCTTGGGATTCATCTCCCATTGGCTGACCGCGTCCTCTCATGTGCTGCTGACGTGGCACAGTACCTCCCTCCCATTGGCTCCAACCAGGTCAGCATCTCATAGTGATGTGTCCTTCTTGTGTGAAGTCTTTGTGTGCTTATAGTGAGGCCTTGAATCGTCCTTATTGTGAGTCTTCCCTTAGAGGGTTCTGTTATTGTCCTCACAGTCTGTTCTGGTCTCCTTATAACAATGCCGAATCACGTTCTTGATTTGTGCATAGTCCCTTGCAAGTCACTAATTCTCTACACTGAACTTCGATTCTCGCTCCCATCCTTCCTCACTCACAACCTCCCTCCCTCCCTCCCTCCCTCCCTCCCTCCCTCCCTCTCTCCCTCCCTCCCTCCCTCATCCGTCCTTCCCTTCCCTCTCCTACCACCCCCTTCCAGACACCGACTGCCAACAGTACCGGCCAAACAGGGGGGAGCCAAACACAGGGTTCAGTGGAAGCGGAAGGGTCAGTGGGCGTGTTTGTGGCGTCGTTGAGCACGCAGCACTGGCTGGACATGCAAGGGCGGTACGCCCTGTATGGGGCGCAGGACTTGACTCCGCTCAGCTTCTGGACGTGAGTGGAGAGGGAATATTGCATGGCATGGCACTGGGTGTACGGCATAAGTCGTTGGGCACGCAGCACTGGCTCAACAGGCGATTGAGCGATGCGAAGAAGTGGTCAGACGTGCAGTTTGGACACGGGAGAAAGCTGCATGTGCTCGCTCGTGCATGGAAAAACTCCCTTGTTTGTGTTTGCACGTGCCTTCCCCCCTGCCAGGCTGAGCGATCAGCGGGCGGAGAAGTGGACAGACACACAGTTCGAGTATGCTGTCATGGAGATGTGGTTACTCAGCTTCTCGTACGTTCGTGTAACGCCGTTCTCAGATTCTGTTTTTCTTGCTTTCTTTCTTTCTCTATATTATTATTATTTTTACTCCAAAAATCACTGTTTAGGGAAAGCTTGAAATTCTTGCCCAGTTCAAGCCCAAAAGCACTGCCTCCTGATTGTCATAGGAATGTGGCTCCCCTCTCCGGCCTACATTCCACCTTCTCGTTCCTTTCCGTGTCTTCTATCCCATCCGCCTCCCTTTCCTTTCCCTGTCCTCCCTGTCCTCCCTTTCATTTCGTTTGCAACCATGTTCTTCCCTTCCCCTTATCGCAGTGACCGGATTCTCATTTCAGACTTCTCTTCCTTTGGCTGGGTGGCACTGGGCCTGGCCGGTATTGACGGGTACTCCATGGCGGTTGCTGTCTTGCATGCCTTCGAGATCGACTGGCGGAAGGAGAATCGTCCCGTGTGTGTTTCAATATCACCCGAGCCATGCGACGTGCTGGGCTGCTCTGCCTCTGTGGTAAGTCGTCCATATTCAAATATCCGTATGTTGTAGCACAACGCAAGATTTCCAATGGCAGATGTTTTTGCACTCATGTGAATGTTGCAAACGGAACGGGAATTGATGACTACACGATTTTTCTGGGTTGTTAATTGCAGTCTATGTGCAAGGGTGGACACTCTACGGAGAGCGTGGAGCTAGAGGGCGATCAGCTGCATAATTTCTCGACATGCCCTGGGTCGTATCTAGGTATTCGAGATATGAGAGCTTTTTGATTAGTTTTGTATGATAAGGGGCTTCATTTATGTTGTATTATATGCTTCATCTATTTAAGGAGTCTCTACTCTGTACGTCCTGGTTCTGTCTATCCTGTATCGCGGTTATTGGCACCCTTGTGTGTGGAGTTGAGGAGGTGCCAACTAGGACGATTGGGGGAACGAGTTTCCCGCCAAATCTGCCGTGAGCCATTGAGCATTGCCCAGCTGGAGTGTGGTGGCGAAGAGATGCCATTTCCAAAAATCTACTCTTTTCCAGATGGGTGGGGGTAGAAACTGCTTCAAAAATATAGGGGCATGTGTTGTGTCGGTGGGCCGAGGCAAATTGTGTGGTGGTGGGGGGGTTTGAAATTTCAAGACCATGGGCAGCATTTGTCTGGGGCCGGGCGTGGTGGGAGGAAATTGCCTTTCCGGAGAAAGATATGCAACTGATTTGGGGAAAATCTTGGAAATATTACAAGAGCCCTATACTATACGAAGTCCGTGCCCCCTCCCTCAGCATCCACACCACAAACATGAAAACAATTGTTTTTAGGCCTTCTGGAAAAATGTGCTAGTTACGGGACATGTTTAGACGTGGACGAGAGGTTTGATATCCTCTGTTTTTTACCCTAAAAATAGAGAAATGTGTCTGGTCGCTCACTGATGCCATCCAAACACCCATCATCGCAAGAAACCACCCCCTATTCTAGGGCTGGTTGTTGGTAGGAGGCACCTGTCATCCAACCAACTCCGTGTTTGATAGTGTACAGTAAAAGCAACCAGCCAGCACGCGTGCTGTCCCTTGCTGACTGTCGCTCAGGTGGGTCTGCCTGGTGGGCTGGTCGTGCGGATGACGACGGATACGAGAAGTGGAACATCTGTTTTGCGATGCTCGAAAGGTTTCGTCGCGAAAAACGTTGACGAGAACATACGGTGGATAACGGTTTATAAGCATGCTTAGATTTTTAAATGAGGTGCTTTTTGGTGAAGGCGACCCAGAAGTCAACGCGTCGCTTCAGGCCCACCAGCTCAGCTGTGCGGGGGAGGGGGAGGGGGTGGGGGGGTGGGGGGGAGGAAACTCCACATCAGGGCTTATGTTATCCGAGCATTTATACCCTGATTTGACTGAAAATATAGAGTTTTTTCGGTGACGTCCTTCAAAATATTACAGTACTTTTCTCCCCAGCCCTGAGGAATTCAAGGGGAGGGAGGGGGGGATTTTCGGGACCCTTAACCTAACGAGGGCCTTTTTGCCGAACCCTGATGTATCCGAGCAGTTTAAGGGACTACCCGGAACCCGCCCACCCCCCCATATTCCCCCACCCCCCCCCCCCCGCCGCTCTCCAACCTTTCCCGCCTTCCTCCCTCCACCTTTTTCCTTGCCCACCAAGATTCCCGCTCCACCTAAATAAAGAAATTTCAACCTCAATTACAGATTTCAACCTATCACGCTTTCCCTGCCCTGTCTCGCCCATACGGAGTCTGACTAGGGACATCTACAACATCTTAGTTAAAATTGAGCTCTGTGGTTAGTTAGCTCACCTTGGATCCAGGCTCTGCTTAGAAAAAAACAGGTTTTTGCTGTCGGAATAAATGCTTAGCTGCGACAGCAACTAATATAAATGTCATGATAGACCAGTGCTGCCATTCTCTACACCCTCCTCCTCCTCGACTGCCTGTCCCCAATATTTCCTGTGCCTAACAAATCAGGTTATGTAAGATTCCCAGCGCATCAGACCCATGTCTGTCAAGGACAGGTTACGTCATGTAGCTAGCAGAGTCAAAAATTGGCCAGCCCTGATTTTTTCGAGCAGATTTTACTAAAGCCCAGGAAACTTAGGGAAGTGCTACGGTTTTTCCTGGTGTTTCCAGGGAAGAACTGGTGGGCTGCCCAAATCATCCGGGCTGTCCCAAAACCAAACATAAGCCCTGCTCCGCATCCATTTCCCTCCTCCCCTCTCCTCTCCACCTCTTCAATCTTACTGGAAAAACAGGCCTCGTCAGTGGCAGTTGCTTTGTCTACTCCAGCACGACCAAGGCCTGTCCCATCCCGAATAAGGCGCGTTTCGTGCTAAAACGGTCAAATACTAAAATACTACGGTTCAGTAGGGTTCTGGCGAAAACCAACGCCGAATTCTTGGAAGTATCTATTCATTGTCTGAGTGAGCCTTGGAAGGCTCCCACCCTCACCGCCTTTATCCCTCGTCACACATGTGGTTTTGCCTTATGTGCCGCGTCACTTTGCAGCTATCGTTGAAGTCATATCACGGCGGTAATAAGCAACGCAAGTCATATCGCAGTTCGGGACTCTGGTTAGGAAGGAAGGATGACCGCGTTCTATCCTACAAATCGGGGTTTACGTTAGATCATCCTACCAACTACTGTGGGGATGTGCGTCGACAGCGGCTCGGTAAATCTAGAAGCACTAAGGGAATGCTTTGAGCCTCCTCAAATGCAGCCCTGTAGCGCTCTTTCACGCCAGCGCGATTGCGCGAAGCGCGAAAGCGAAGTCGCTTCATCGGAGAAAGGAGAGGGGGAGATGAGCGACGGCGACGCAGTGACAATAGGAGAGAAGGAAAAAGGAGAGGTGGAGATAATAGGGGGAAAGAGGACGGAGAAAGGACTGGGGGAGATGAGTTACGGCGACGCAACGACACCAGGGACAATGGGATGCAACGAGGCGACGGAGCAAAACGACGGTGACTATCGCAGCAGTCATCGCGACAGCCGTCACAGCAGTCCTCGCAGCAGCCTGCGAAGCAGCAGGAGCAACAGCTGCGACGGTTTCGATTTCGCCCGGGCGTTCAGGGGACTGCCGCCGCGACTGTCGTTTCAAGATGACGACGCTTCGCCGGACTTTTTCTCGGGAAGCACGGCGACAACGTCGCGGTCGATCGATTCGCCGATCCAAGCGGTTCGTTCTCACAGCGGCGGCTTCCCGGGCCGCTTTCGCACCGGTTTCCGCGGGGAGTTTCGCGGCGACGTTCGCGTCGACTTCCGCGGCGACATTCGCGGTGACTTCCGCGGCGAGCTTCACGGCAGTGCTGACGGCGACGGTGACGGCGAGGGGGAGGATTTCCAGGGAGCTCAGAATGTCGCGATCTGGCCTGCGGCGGAAAAAATATCGGATCTGGCCGTCCGAGAGCGTTCGACCGATTCGTTCGGAGAAGCATCGTCGAATGGCCTGGGTCTTGACGGTGGCTTTAAGACACGTGACTATATAGCACGTGAAAGTATGGCTCGTGGTGCATGCGGTGGCTCCGGAGATGAAGGCGAACGGGCTCCGTTAGAAGCTGACTCGAAGCAAGCGTTAGTGGCTCCCCAGCAGAGCTTGTGGAAAATGTTTCGCGAATCGGCGGGGTCGGGACCGCGACCCACTGCGTCGGCGATTTCCGCCGCGGCGACGGAGGCGACGGAGGCGACGGATGCGACGCCGTGTCTTCACTCGAAGCCCGACGATGGGCCACGTCAGCAACCGGACGACGGGGAAGATCGCGATCAACCGCGACCGCGATCGCGAGTGGTTATGCAGAAAGATTTGAGTGAAAGCGTTGCTACCACGTCATCCCATGATCGCGTCGCTGCCACGTCATCAGCCTTCTCGAAGGAGCTGGTTGACGAGGCTGCTGAGCTGGCTGAACGCTGGAGCCGATTGCTTCGACACACGTGTCCACAGGACGGAAGCAGGCGGCCTACTAGCACTTGTAGCTCTAACGCCGAGTCGCAGAACAACTTGAACAACAAGAACGAATCACTGGGTTTGGCAGAGCTCGCGCTTCGTGGAAGCTGCGGCGGCGCGCCGCAGATCGCGCTGGTGTTTATCAATAGTAACGAAGGCCAGGAGCCGGGAAGCGAGGTGCAGGAGGGCCATGATTTTTCGCAACAGTTCGCTTCTGATCGCGAAGCAAAGACGAAAGGGGAGGCGAACGGAAAGGCGGCTTGTGTGGAAGAGGTTCGGGTACAAGGCAGGCTGATCCGAACCTCTTTGTGGGGCGAGTTTCGGCAACAGCAGCAGCAGCAGGGACAGGTTCGGAAGACAGGGCAACAGGTATGGGAGCAGGCACGGGGGCAAGGGGGGCAGGAGCAGAAAAATCCGCAGCAGAGCCTTGCTTGCGCTAAGCCAAAAGTCTTTCTGTGGGAGCAATTTCAGATTCAGAAAAGGGACGAGGTGGAAGAGAAGCAGCAGCAGCAGCAGCAGCAGCAGCAGCAGCAGCAGCAGCATCAGGAGGAGGAGGAGGAAGGAGACAAAGATGTCGAAACAGTGTCGCTGGCAAGTGGGCTGTTAGGCAATTCTTTCAGCTTCTTCAAACTGCCCGATGGGGCAGAGCTAAAATCTCTGGGATCCGAAAATCAGTGCACGGGTGACCCTGAGGACTACCCTCAAAAGCCATTGGGGGAACCACGCGACAAGCCACCTGAAGGGGAACAGAAAGAAAACTCGGAATCTTGCATTCTGACATGCGAGGATCAGCAAAGGCCGGATAGCACACAAGAGTCACAAAAGTTGCCGTGTAGTCCACCCAAGAGTCCTATCACCCCATTTGATTCCCAGAATTGGCTGCTGACGCCGTACCAGCACTGTTGTACTCGCCGATGGAGCATGGATGATGGTCTTATGGAGGCGAGTCAGCAGCGCACGGACCACCATGACCACTTGTATCATCATCCCCGGATGAGCCTGGATGATGTGAGCCTTGAGTCGACTCATGGAAGGAGCCTGGACCTTGACTTGGATCACTGCATGAGCACACAGAGCCGAGATAAGTCTTTGGGAATTCTAGACAACCTGTGCAGTGAGGGAAGAAGCAGTTGTTGCAGCAGTGGGCTCTGCCATCCGTGCCTGTCCAAGTGCGGTGGAATCCAGAATGGTGGAGAGGGGTGGAAACGCAGCAGCACGCCGCAGCGCGATAGTGGCGGGGCTCTGAACTGTGGGGAGTCTGCCCTGGTGCAGCAATTGCAGATGTGTCAGCTGCAGGAGGTTCATCGGAGGGCGTGCCCGTCGAAGCGGCAGCAGATGCGGTGCTTGCATCAGCAGCAGCAGCAGACGGCGCACTTGAGGCTGGTGGAGAGGCCGAGACGGCGAAGACACATGCGAGAGGAGCGTGGGTTGGTGATGGCACGACTGATGGGCATGCAACTGGCATGAATCATGAGGCTTCTCAAGACAGATGCATCACAATGTGTGCTGGTGACACAAACAGTGACCATGCAGCTGACATGCAGCATGGGTGGTGGGGGGGAGCACAGAGCTGACACGCACCATGGGTGGTGGTGGATTGAGCATGCACCATGGATGGTGGAGGAAGTGAGCATCGCTGGCATGCGGCATGGGTGGTGGTAGTGAGCAAGCACGCCAAGCCCACACACATCTAATCCATTCCAATGTTTTTCAATTATCCTAATGTAACGCTTATTCTTTCTACTAATTTGTTTCGTTACACTTCTGTACCACACCTATGCCTGTGGTAAGGTTTCTGTGATTCTGGCCAAGGCCACCTCTAGTTCCTCTTCAGGCGAACCAGCACAGCCGGAACCACCCCGGCTCACTGCACCCACATGCACCCCCTGATGAGACATCCACCCTCCCTTCCAGCCGCCACAGGCCTGGAGTGCAGAAGCGATACCCCTTCTTCTAAGCGGCTCCCTCAGGATTGCAGTAAGGTTTGCGATATTCTATCCATGGCCAGCTGGAGTTCCCCTTCAGGCGAACCAGCAAAGCAAAGCACAGCCGAAACCCGGAACCACCCAGGCTCAATGTCTCAGAGTGACGAATTAGCTAGAATGTGAGATACAGTGTGGTTTTGTGCTGAGGGGTTGTACTCTCTAAGAGTATGCACCTATCTAGCCTATAGCAACATATACACATGTTTGATTCACCCCCTATGCTAGATGAGGGCCAGTGCATGGCAAGAGACACGCAACTCAGGGTGGCACTACTAGTCCAACCGCTAAGGCAAGGGTCCGAAGACCAGTCAATAAGAGTACGAACTAAACAAGAGTAACACAGGGCAGCACTACTAGTCTAGCCACTGGAAGAGAAGCCACAAGGTCAGTCAAGATAATATAAAACAAAGTACACAATCAGCGTCCTAGCAAGTGAGAAGCTACAAGAACTAGACCGAGTTGTACACAGTGTCGCTGATGATCTTTAGGCGATTTTTTTTTTTGGCTTAAAGGAGATCCCAGGAGGAAACCAGGCCCCCTTTCCCACGCCGATCCACCTGCGAGCCCCTGGGGGAAACCCCCTGGCGCCCGAGACTTCACCCGTGTTGCGGAGGGTAGGCGGTCCGGGCTGGCAGTAGTACCCAGCATGTGCGGTGATATCAGCTGTGTTGGCACCCGAGGCCAAGGGTACTACGCGAGCCTGGCGTCGCTACTATAGCTCGCGCAGGAGGAAGTACCGCAGCTGGATGTGCTTAGCTCTGCCCTCTACTCGAAGCTTCTGACACAGGATCATGGCCCTGTTGTCAGCGTACAGGACCGGGGCAGAGCTAGGCCGCTCACCTAAGTCCGTGAGCAAGAAAGTCAGCCAGCGGAGCTCCTATGCCGCCATGGCACCGGTGTAGATCTCAGCCTCACAGCTAAACTATGCAATAGACGACGAACGGGTGGACCTCCACGAGATGGCACCCGAACCAAGGCTAAAGCAGTAGCCCTAGGAGGACCTGAGCGTCTCAGCCTCGTCTACCCACGAAGCGTCTGTATGCCTTGTAAGGACCACTGACATGCGTCCTCCTAGCATTAGCCCCATGCACGATGTAACTGCTAGATAACCGGTATGCGAGGTCTGGATCAGGTACATGAGGCAACCCACCAGCTCTGCGTACGGACCACTAGGCTTTGCTAACTTTTCTGGGACTGGAGCCAAGAGCGTGTGATCTACTGGCAGAGGTGTGGGCTGTGCACAGGAGAACTGAAGAGTGAACCTCTGAAGGACCTAGCACACCAAGTGTGACTGTGTGAGAGTGATGGTGCACGCTCCTTTATCCCTGGAGATCTGCAATCCAAGGTAGTGGTGCAGCACTTCTGGGTCAGTGCGGTGTGTCTCCACAGTAGCTCAACCTTCACGGAGGCCAGTGCGTCTCTCTCTACAGTAACGAAGACCAGGTTGTCTGCGTAGACAAGGATGTAGAACGGGGTCTGGCCTGAACGAACGACGAGCGAAGGGTCCGCAGAGGACGGAAAGAACTGCAGGTCAGCTGACGTAACATGTAGCATGTCGTGCCACTCGCGGGGCGCCTGCCGCAGGCCGTAATCCGGGAGCCAAAGGAGCCACTAGGTCCTGGGGGCGAAGGTGCCGGTGAAGCCTGGCGGTTAGCGCAGGTAGACCTGCTCGTGCAAACTGCCCTGGAGAAATGCTGTAGAGAAGTCAAGGGAGTGCAGCTTGTAGTCACGCTGTGCTGCCACGTGTAGCAGCGCTCGAAGAGTGGTCATCTTTAGGGTCGGGACGAAAGTCTGAAAAAAATCAACCCCATCGCACTGATGGAAGCCTCTAGCAACGTAGCGCGCCTTTAACACCGGCGGCTCTCTGGGGGGGCGCTTCACCTTGAAGAGCCACCGGCCATCAGTTGCGTTCACCCCAGGTGGGGGAACTGCGTCGACGTAGGTGCCGGTGGATATCCAAGATGCCATCTCCACGTCCATGGCAGCTATCCACTGAGAGACACAGCGTTCAGAGGTCGCCTCAGCGTAAGTGCGAGGGGTCGGGATGTCAAGGGCGTCTGGGTCACCCTCAGGGACTAGCAGCATGGAGCAGAGATGGGGGGCGACCTCAGACTAGAAAGCAAGCTCCTACTGCCGGTCCTCGAGGACGTCACTGACAATCGCAGGAGCAACCCCGACAGACGGAGGATGGCCAAGGTCAGAGACCAGAGCGCTGGCGTAGTCAAGGCGGCGGCTACTGCCTTGCCGATGTACTGAGCTGGGCTCACTGGTTCGTTGGGCTGATTTGTTGGTTGCAGACCGTGCCGCGGCGGGGGCCGGACTGAAGCTGGTACTGGTAGGTGACCACACTGGAACCGCCACCCGACACCGAGCTGCGTGGCCCACCACCACGACGACCACCACCAGCGCCGTCAAGCCACCACGGCGGCGGGGGTCCCCACGGCTGCTGCTGCTGTTGCTGCTGCGGAGGCTACTGCTGCTGCTGCTCCAGAGCACCAGCCCCGGTCCCCTCGTCTGCACCACCGTCCCCACCACCACCTCCGCCACCTCCGCCACCTTCCCTCCGCCACGCCCCCCTTGGGGCGGTGGCCCTTACCCTGACGCGGCTACGCTAAGGCCGCGGCGGCGGTCTCAGCAGCAGGGGTCGTCTCAGCGACAACGGCAAAAATGTTAGAGTAAGTGCACTTGGAGGGAGCACAGCCCAGGAAGATAGGGACTGCCGCAGTACCGCTAGACTGAGCGATAGTGCGCTGGTGGGTATCTATCGCGGACAGGGCGGTGACAAAGGCGGTAAGGGTGAGGTCACCTAAGTGCTGACTAAGGAAGTGGTCGCGGGCAGTGGCAAGGCGGTAGGGGAGGCGTGTGGCAATGAGGTACAGGGTAGCGCAAACCGGCGGCGGGAATGCAGTGAGCTGTGCCTCAGTGGTAGCAGCGTGGTAGCTAGTCTCAAGTGCGCGGAGATGAGTGGCAAGGTTAGCGACAGTGGGGAAGGAAGCAAGATTAGGGAATAGCATGGGGAGGATCAGGCGGCCGGAAGAGGCGGAGGAGGGATTGGAATAGCGCGCAATGACCGCAGCTAAGTATTCCTTCGCATTGGCTACAGCGGTAAAGCGAGGACGCTCAGACAGGGGAAGAGCATGACTAAGAGCAAGCTGTGCGACTGCGTCGCGCGACTCCCAGACAACACGGGCAAGCTCAGCAGTAGCAAAGGCCTCACGCTCAGCAGACGTGGGGGCAGCAGGGAGGGCAGCAGGCGCGTCGGGGTAGGGGAGCTTATTGTCAACATGGAGGGCCAGGGAATGGCCGTCCTGGCGCTGACCTGTCAGCTGGTGGCAGAGGTCGACGAGCCACGCCTCAAAATCAACCGCCCGACCCTCCTCGTTCGGGCAGAACACAGAGTCCGCCATCACCACGGCTGCAGCAGCTGACTCCCGCTGACTGCCGCTGGAGGGGGAGGAGTGTGGCGGAGAGCGGTGGAGAGCGGTGGAGAGCAATGGAGAGTGGTGGAGAGCGGCGGAGAGCATTGGAGAGCGGTGGAGTGCAGTGGAGAGTGGTGGAGTGCAGTGGAGAGCGGTGGAGGCAGCCGGCAGTAGCGCCGGCGCAGTGGGGAGCCAAGGCCGGCGGGTCGGGGTGGTAGAGCGGCTCGACGGCTCAGCGACACGGCGGCACGGCTCGGCGGGAGCCGGCACGGGCTGGGGCCGGCGGAGCTGGGGCTGGTGAAGCTGGGGCCGGCAGAGCTGGGTCCAGCGGAGCTTGGGGCCGGCAAGCGAGGGGCCGACGGGCGCGGGGCCAGCGAGCGGGGGGTCGGTAAGTGCGGGGCCAGCGAGCGCGGGGCCGGCAGGCGCGGGGCCAGCGAGCCCGGGCCTAGCAAGCGAGGGGCCGGCGAACTCAGGGCCAGTGGGCGCGGGGCTAGCTAGCAAGGGGCCGGCGAACGCTGCGGCGACTAGGAACGGGCGGCTAGGAACGGCTGCTAGCGACGGGTGGCTATCAACGGGTGGCTAGCAACCGGCGGCTAGGACTAGGGCTAGGACTAGGGCGGAAGCGCGGTGGGCGGGAAGGACCTAACCTAGCGTGATACCATCTTTGAGTATCGAACTAGCTAGAATTGGAGATACAGTGTGGTTCTGTGCTGGGGGGTTGTACTCTCTAAGAGGTCGCACCTATCTAGCCTAAAGCAACATATACACATATGTATGACACACTGCACTGCACTGCACTTCACTGCACCCACATGCACCCCGTGGTGTGACATTCACCACAGGAACAAACCGCACCATCAGGACTGCAGTAAGGTTCTCGATATTCTATCTATGGCTAGCTGAAGTTCCTCTTTAGGCGAACCAGCAAAGCACAGCCGGAACCACCCAGGCTCGCAGCACCCACACGCACCCCCTGGTGTGATGTTCACCCCTCCTTGCCTCAGCAGCCGCAAAAAAAAATCCTCCTCTCCTCGAATACTGTTTTTTGGGGATATGAACTGTCGGAAATCGCACCATAGGAACACTCCCGCGTTGCTTCCAGGTAAGCATTTCACACCTATTTGTAACAGGGCTTCTTGTGCTGTAGACGAGGCTTTTCTGAGCCTGCACTGATTTTCTGAGAGGTAGGCTTGTGCGAATAGCGAGTCGCTCAGTAGAGGAGCGAGGAGAGCTTGCGTGTGGCGAGAGGGGGAGCAGAAGCGGGCGAGTTTGGTGATTGCGGATTGGACGGCGGGGTTGAGGGAGTAGCAGGCGCCGATGCGAAACCCGGGAATGCCAAGGTCCTGCAGGGGAACGAAGAGAAATCGAGGATTAGAGGAATTGAGGAATAGACAAGGCAAGGAAGGAAGCAGCTGATTCTGGTGATTGTTAACAGCAGAATGATAGGGTTGAGGGAGTAGCAGGCCCCGATGCGGAAGCCGGGAATGCCAAGGTCCTGCAGAAAAAAAAAAGTAGCAAGGAGGAAGCCAGAAGGTTCAGATAAAGCAAGGGAGCATAGGTGAAAATGTCCGTGTGTAATGAGTCTATTTTGTTGTCCTTGCTCCGTTTGTTTTCTGCAAGACCTGTGCGTAATGAGTCCATTTTTTTGTCGACTAAAAAATAGACTTACTACACACAGGTCCTGCAGAAAACAAACGTAGCAAGGAGGAAGCCAGAGGGAGAAGAGAAAGCAAGGGAGCATTGGTGAAATCTCTGTGTGTGATGAAATGTCCGTGTTGGTGATTTGATATGACTTGACACAGCTTGAGGCGATGTGGGGCACAGAGTGGAAGAGAGAGATTGCATCTCATCCTCATCCTCACGTTCAGAGTGGAAGAGCATCAAAAGTCATCCTCATCTTCATCCTCATCCCCATCCCCATCCTCATCCCCATCCTCATCCCCATCCGCATCCTCACTCGCACAAGCGCACCTTGGAAGGACCGTGGATGATGTGCCGGATGGGATAATCCCAAGGCTAACCACACTTGGTCACTGTGTCACAAGCGCACCTTGGAAGGACCGTGGATGATGTGCCGGATGGGATAATCCCAAGGCTAACCACACTTGGTCACTGTGTCACAAGCGCACCTTGGAAGGCCCATAGACAATGTGCAGGAAGGGATAATCCCGAGGCTGTGAGTCTATTAGGAGTGGATATCCCACCTTGGAGGGGCCGTATACAATGTGCAGGAAGGGATAATCCCGAGGCTCCGCAAGGCGCAGAAGAGAAGTGAAGCCATCCCCGTTATAGACCGACCCAGCATAGATCTCATCAGAGATCAAATGGAGACAGTTCTTCCTGCGATTAGATGGAAACAAGGACGGCATAGATAGAAAAATAAAGGAACAGAAGGCACAGAAGGCACATGATAGAAGTCTACTTTCTAGGCGACTCAGGCTGGACCTATATCACGCGAAGAAACAGGCGAGGTACAGAAAGTGATGGAGGAAGGCGAGGTACAGAAAGTGATGGAGGAAGAGGTAATACAATGTATTGCCCTCCAAGAAAAAAGGCGTCTGCAATGTGTAAAAATATATTCTTGCGGCGGCTCCTACTCTTCTCCGAGTTTTAAGGCGGCTCGACTTACCTGCAAAAATGCAAGACATTGAGAAGAGTGGTGTTGGAAAAGGTGCAGCCCAGAGGGTTGGAAGGTGAAGACAGAAGCACACCACGAACCTTCCTCCTCCTCCCTCTCCCCCTACTCCTCTCTGCCCTCCCCTCATCCTCAGCCCCCCCTCCCCCCTGCCTCGGCTCCTCCTGCTCGTCTCCCCCCTCCCCCTGAGACTCCCTGAGAGCAGCTTCTAGCGAGGATGTGCTTATATCGAATCCAGAGTCACTGTAGGTGGCAGCAGGGATGATGGTGACACCTGCCTGGCGCTCCAGATCCACTGTGAAGCTATAGAGGGGGGCGAGCGGGGTGGGGGGCAAGGGGAAGGCGAGGAAGTGCTTATATCGAATCCAGTGTCATTGTAGGAGGCGGCATGAATGATGGCGACACCTGCCTGGCGTTCCAAGTCCAGTGTGACACTAGAAGGGGGAGCAGAGGGAAAGGGAGAGGGGGGGAAGTGAGGGGGAGAAAGGGGAGAGTGCAAGGGGTGGCGGCAGGCTGCAGGAACGATGGCAACACCCGCCTGGCGTTCCAAGTCCGCTGTGAAACTAGAAGGGTGTGGGGGGGGAGGGGGGAGGGTTGGGGGGAGGAAAAGGAAAAAGGGCAAGAGGTGGCGGCAGGGATGATGCTACACGAGCCTGGCGCTCTAAGTCCCCTGTGAAACTATCGAGGGGAAGTCGGGGGGAAGGGAGGGAGGAGGGGGGGAAAGAGGGGGGGGAAGAGGGGGGGGAAGAGGGGGGGGATGGGGAGAAAAGGGAGAGTGCAAGGGGACGGCAGGGATGATGTGATACCTACCTGGCATTTGAGATCCACTGTGAAGCTGAGGCGAGGGGGGAGAGGAGTCGGTGCGGGAGCGGGGAAACAAGGGGAGGCCACCTGAAATAATGTGCACATCAGATGGCGACACCTGCCTGGCGCTCAAGGTCCACTGTGAAACTGAGGAACAAGGGGGAGCGGGGAGGAGGGGAAGGTTGGGTGCGGGGGCAGGAGGGGAGGGAGGAAGAGAGGGGGGGGGAAGGAGGGGAGGGAGGAAGAGGGAGGGGGGCAGGAGGGGGTTTGATTCGCATTCAGAAGTAATCAAAGGAGGGGGGTTGCAGGAAGGGGGGCAGGGGGCGAGTGAGGAGTGAGTGAGAGTAGATGATAGAAAAATGCCTTAGAAACACGGCGTACCCCAGATAAGAAGAAGCCTGACTTACCCTGGGTAGAAACACGACATACCCCGGGTAATAAGGCGTGGGAACAACAAACGCATCCCCCGCATCAGCCAGCACGTGGGCCAGCAATCCAACGGCTGCAGTGGCTCCAGACGTGATCACCAGACTGTCAGGATCGATGGAGAGCGGTTGTGAGCGGTTGAATGGTTCCTCGTCGCAGGCACTCAATCGGCCTTCAGTGTGCTCTTGTGTGCTCTTCTGAGAGAGGTTGAGAGCATGACTCATAAACGCGGCCATAGCCTGCAGTGGTGATGGGGAGACGGCAGCACATGGGAGCACATGGGAGCACATGGGAGCCATAGAAAAGAGAGATGGGGAGAGTGTGTGCCCTTGTGTGCTCTTCTGAGAGAGGGTGAGAGCACGAGTGCTGAAGGCAGGCATAGCCTGCAATGATTGGGGGAGGGGATAGGAGCCAGCCATGGCAGAATTAGTGTGTTCGTGTGGGTCCTGCGGGATATTTTTTAGAATTCTAAGATCTATCAGAACAGTTGGTTCGTGTGGGTCCTGCGGCGGATCTACGTGGGAAAGGGGGGCGGATTTCCGCCGGAATACGTAAATCTTCTAGATGCAAAGCTCTAAGAGCTTTAAATCCGAATACGTTACCTACGATGGAAGTAAATAGGTTAGTAACAGAGCCTTCTTCGAATAGATCTAAAGGATATGCTACGTATGCGATGTACTGGTTTTCGCAGGGGTGGGGGAGGAGGGGAGGCTTTTCCGCCTCGGATCACCAAAAAGCTCTCCTCCTCCCCCACCCCTCCCCCTGCTACAAAAAAAAGAAGGGCAGAATGGGAGGAACGTGAAAGGGGAGTGGGAAGGACTGTGGGAAGGAATCTCCGCGTTTCAAGGAGTCAGTGACGGAAAACAACTGGCTTAACAAAGTGTTTTGGACTAAGCGCCAGCTTGTAAAAGTCACCTGGCGAAACGGCATGTCCCCGTGGAACTCCCCATAAGCTGACGTGGCATCAACGACTGGCATCTCACGCTGGAGGCGATCTGAAATGAGGTCAAGCGAGAGCTGATTGGACAGAGGAAAGGAGCGGGGAGAGGGGACAATGAGGGGTAAAGGACGTATATTGAGTTCCAAGTGCCTAAGGGTTGTGACTTTAACGCACCAAGTCATGGCGAGCCTGGACGGAGGCTCAGGCTTGGGCTCAGGCTCGGGCTCAGGCTCAGGCCCAGGCTCGGGCTCGGGCTCGGGCTCAGGCTCGCCATGGCTCAGGTAGCCAGTGAGCTAAATAACGCCAACCCGTCGCGCGACTCACTGGCTAGCTACCACTCTCAAGGTACAACTCGCCTGTTACCACTCACTTTGCTATCGGCAAGACCTCGATGAACAACACCGTCGGATCACGTCCTCGCACCGTACGGGTTACCATAGTTGGCAGTGGCAGTTACCACCCTCACTTGTTACCACTCGCATGTTACCACTCGCATGTTACCACTCGCATGTTACCACTCGCATGTTACCACTCACTTTGTTATCGGCAAGTCCCAGCTGGATTACACGGTTACACCATCGGGTCGCGACTCACTGGTTACCATCCTTGTCACGTACCACACTCACGTCCTCACTGGCTTCGGTCAGATTTTCAGGCAGCTCAAGACTCCTCACCGGCTTCCACTCTCAGTGGTTACCACTCTTGAGGTTACACCTGGCATTTCTTACCACTCACTCTGTTATCAGCAAGTCCCACCTGGATAACACCATCGGGTCGCCACTCACTGGTTACTCTCAGTTCCTACTATCAGTGGTAAAAACAAGGCTTAGGGTTATTCTTACCACTCACTCTGTTATCCGCAAGTCCCAGCTGAATAAACCCGTCTTGTCGCGTTATCCCATCGTACCGGTTTTCCCTTTGGCGGGTTCTGACATTACCACTCATCCTGCTATCACCCATCGTGCTACCACTCACTTTGTTATCAGCAAGGCCCAGCTGAATAACACCATCGGGCCGCGTCCTCGCGTCGTACGGGTTTTCCCGCGCGAATCCCAGCCCTCGATAGTACAACGACGGCTCTTCAGCAGCTAGCTGCGCGCCGCGGCTCGACAGCCTGCCGGCCCCGTTACAGTCACCCCCCGACATTGTCGCTACTACTGGCAATATATCAGCTGAAGCTACAACACGCATTTCCTGCCCTGGAGTCGCATACGTCCTCTTTCGAAAAGGTTGGCGCGAAATGAGGCTCGGTGAAATGAGGCTCGGTGAAATGAGGCTCGGTGAAATGAGGCTCGGTGAAACGAGGCTCGGTGAAATGAGGCTCAGTGAAAGGAGGCTCGGTGAAATCGACGTCGGTGCAATCGGGCGGGGTGAGATCAGGCTCGGTTGCTCTCGGTTCGTCTCAGAATTCAGTAATTTCCCACTAGACCTTGCACTTGCACAGCGGCCACTGTAGGTGGAGCATGGGGTCGCCGGTGGGACAGCTAAAGCGGACATGATGCAGACGAATCAGGCTCACAGCAAGGCTCAATCATGGTGGATTCATGATTCTGGGAGCTAGAATCGCGGATTGTCAGGGGGAGGGTGGAGTGAGCTTGCCGACAGCTTCGTTAAGAGCTACTTCGACATAATATCTACGCCGCGGATAATCAGAAGAAAGAATATATACCTTGATTTGCTAAAGAGCTTGCTATAGCTTCAAGTCCATGACACCTTCCTCCTTAGACCAAAAAAACCGAAAGCTAGAGGATCGATCGCTTTCCAAACAAGTCACTAAACGGTAATCGTACGACCTTGCTCCCATAACTCGTTAATTTTCCTCCACAAGTATTCCTCCCACCGTACTCAACCCTCCCACCTTCCCTCATTCCCTCCCACCGCACTTCATTCCCTTCCACCGCACTTCAATCCCTCCCACCGTACTTCTTCAGCTTCTTGCGGAAACTTCGCTTGCGGCTAAACGCACTCTCCTGCAGCAAGAGGTATCCAGATGAAACGAAGTCAAGGGAGAGGAGGAGGGAGCAAACATGGAATCAAGGTAGGGGTTTCAGCAAGAGATATCCAGGAAGTTGGAGGTGAACGGAGAGGAGGGAGCAAACATGAGTATCAAGGTTGGGGTTCAAGGGGAGGAGATTGTGCGTTACAGGGAGGAATACCCCTTCTCCAGCACCTCCATCCCCACCAGCCTCCCCCTTCTCTCCCAATCTCCGATCCTGAGACCCCTTGCTGACTCGCCCACCCACCACACCCACCCCACCCCTCTCTCCTCTCCCCCCTTTTCCGGCTTAGTGTGCTCTCCCCTCCCCCCCTTCTCCCCCCGATTCTCCCCCCCAGACACCACCACTCGCCGTGCTCCCTCCCGTCTCCACCTCCTCCCGCAGGCACAGCAAACATCTTCTCAGCTCTCTCCCCCCTCCTCCCTCCACCCTGACCACTCGCCGTGCTTTCCCCCTTCTGCACCGCCTCCTGCACAGCCTCAGCCTCTCCCCCCTGAGGCACTGCAAACATCTTCCTACCTCCCCACCTCTCCCCACCCCACCCCACCCACCCACCCCCGGACCCACCCATCCAACGCCACCACTCACCATGCTCCCCCCCCCTCTGCATCGCATCCCCGCAATCTCAGAGGCTCTGACGCACCGGGGTGAGCCGAACTGACGCACAGCAAACTTCCTCTCAGCTCCCTCCCCGTTCCTCCACCCCGACCACTCACCGTGCTCTCCCCCTTCTGCACCGCCTCCCTCACAGCCTCGGCCAATGGCGCGCTGCCAGCTGTGTACAGGCTCGTGACTCGGCCGGGCCTGCCTGCCCTGCCAGTCCTGCCCACGCGATGCAAGAAGTCCACAGTGTTGAGAGCAAACTCAGCCTGCAGAAGGGGGAGTTGGGAGGAACGGGTAGGGGGGAGAGAGAACAAGAGGTGTGGTTAGTACTGACTCGTGACTCCCTGCCAGCCTGCCAGCCCTGCCAGTTCAGCTCACCCTGGTGCAAGAAGTCTACAGCGTTCAGAGCGAACTCGGCCTGCGGAAGGGGTGGGGAGGAGAGAGAACAAGAGAACAAGAGAGGTGGGGTTAGCTCTGACTCGTGAAGTGGCCCAGCGTGCCTGCCAACCGTGCCTGCTCCGCCCACCCGGTACAAGAAGTCTACAGCGTTCGGAGCAAAACGTCCACTGATTTGAGAGCAAACTCTGCCTGCAGAAGGGGGAGGTGGGAGGAAAGGGTGGGGGGAAGAGAGAACAAGAGAGCAAGAGTGGTGGGGTTACTACAGTCTGCCCAACCGGTGTAAAACGCCCACTGAGTTGGGAGAGAACACGCCCTCGAAGGGGGAGGGCAGGTCCAAGGACTTCTAATAAGCAGAACAGCAAGAAAAAAGGATGAGAAAGAACAATTCAACGCCTTGGGCCGGGGTTCGCCCCTGTATTCCCCTCCCCTCACATCCGCCACTAGTGAGGTGAGACACATCCTCCACATCAAAGCCCATCAGCTCACAGAGAGTTCCGCCCTCCCCTCCCCTCATAATGATGGGCATCTGTGAAGTCTCAGAATGACCTATGAATGGACCGTTCCGCCCCCCCCCCCCCCCCTCTCTCCTCCTTCCACCCTCACCCGCGCCACGTATCCCACGTGCTCCACATGAGTGCCCCTCCATGCGCACTGAGAGGGGCACAACAATCCCCTTCATGCCACATCTGATTTTTGAGGCGCCTCAAAAATGTCCACATGAGTGCCCCTGCATGCAGCATCTGTGCACTGAGAGGGGCACAATGGTACTCATCCCCTCTTGGAGATGGTCAGATTCCTCCCCCTCCACCTTATGCGCCACGTGCTCTTGAGGCGCCTCAAAAGACCCCCAGGCCCCGCGATGCCGCATGCGAGCACACCATCGCGCCCCCCTCTTTCCCCAACTCCCCTCCATTCCCATCTCCCCCCATCCTCTCCCTCCCGCCCCCCCCCTTCCCCACCTGCACCACGTGTGACACGTGCTCCACGTCAACGCCCCTCGATGCTGCAACTGTGTTACCTACACTGCTCCCAGTTCGCTCTGCCTACAACACTCTATTCCCCCCTCTTCCCCCCCACCCCTCTTCCTCCCCACCCCTCTTCCCCCCCACCCCTCTTCCTCCCCACCCCTCTTCCTCCCCACCCCTCTTCCCCCCCACCCCTCTTCCTCCCCACCCCTCTTCCTCCCCACCCCTCTTCCCCCCCACCCCTCTTCCTCCCCACCCCTCTTCCCCCCCACCCCTCTTCCTCCCCACCTCCTCCTCCCCCGCTCACCTGCACCACGCGCGAGACGTGCTCCACATCACTGCCCCTCGATGCAGCATCTGTGTTCGCTCCACTGCTCCCAGTTCGCTCTACCTACAACACTGTAGTCCCCCCTCTTCCCCCCTCTTCCCCCCCCTTTTTCCTCCCCCCTCCTCCTCTCCCCCGCTCACCTGCACCACGTGTGACACGTGCTCCACGTCAATGCCCCTCGATGCAGCATCTGTGCACACCAACACGCCCCCTCTTTCTTGGAACCTTCTCAGGGCGCGCTCCCGCTCGTCCAGTGGCACGTCCTTGTGGTACACCGCGCACCACGCCACGTCAGCAACTTCTCCTGCTGCCACGTCAGCAGCTCCACCTCGTACCCCGTCATCAGCTGCAGCTCTTTCTGACGTGGCGGCAGCTGACGAGGACAGGTGACGCTGGAGAAGCCGGCCGATGGCGTCAACCGACTCCACATCATTGGCAAAGACCATGGACCGTTGGATGCTCTCAGGCTGGTCCCCATCCGGCCGTTGATTGTCGGACTGATTCGACGCTCGGCTTGTCAGAGCAGCAAGAAGCACGGTGGCCCGTGAGTCGTCCCCGACCTGCTGCCACTCGTGGCGCACACTGTGGGGGGGGAGGGATAGAACAAGGAGGAGGGGGGTGGGGGCAGGCAGGGGAAGGGGGTGGGGGGGGGGGAAAGGAGGAAGGGTGGGGGGGGGTTGGGGGAGGTGGTGCAATAGTGATGCAGATAACAGTGGTGGCATGGTGTTTTCGAGAATTCTCAAACACACCCTGTGGTGCACCAGTGATGCGGGATAACACCGGTGGCATTGGACGCAACGGGAGATGCCGTGGGGCTTGTCACTCATCCCCCACCTGCTGCCACTAGTGGCGCACATTGGGGGGAGGGGAAAGAGGAAGGAGAGGAGGGGGGGGAGGGGAGGGAGGGGGAAAGAGGAAGGAGAGGAGGGGGGGAGGGGAGGGAGGGGGAAAGAGGAAGGAGAGGAGGGGGGGAGGGGAGGGAGGGGGGAAAGGAAGGAGAGGAGGGGGGGAGGGGAGGGAGGGGGAAAGAGGAAGGAGGGGAGGGGGGGAGGGGAGGGAGGGGGAAAGATGAAGGAGAGGAGGAGGGGAGGGGAGGGAGGGGGAAAGAGGAAGGAGAGGAGGGGGGAGGGGAGGGAGGGGGGAAGAGAAAGGAGAGGAGGGGGGAGGGGAGGGAGGGGGAAAGAGGAAGGAGAGGAGGGGGGGAGGGGAGGGAGGGGGGAAGGGAAGGAGAGGAGGGGGGGAGGGGAGGGAGGGGGGAAGGGAAGGAGAGGAGGGGGGGAGGGGAGGGAGGGGGAAAGAGGAAGGAGAGGAGGGGGGGAGGGGAGGGAGGGGGAAAGAGGAAGGAGAGGAGGGGGGAGGGGAGGGAGGGGGAAAGAGGAAGGAGAGGAAGGGGGAGGGGAGGGAGGGGGGAAGGGAAGGAGAGGAGGGGGGGAGGGGAGGGAGGGGGAAAGAGGAAGGAGGGGAGGGGGGGAGGGGAGGGAGGGGGAAAGAGGAAGGAGAGGAGGGGGGGAGGGGAGGGAGGGGGAAAGAGGAAGGAGGGGAGGGGGGGAGGGGAGGGAGGGGGAAAGAGGAAGGAGAGGAGGGGGGGAGGGGAGGGAGGGGGAAAGAGGAAGGAGAGGAGGGGGGGAGGGGAGGGAGGGGGAAAGAGGAAGGAGAGGAGGGGGGAGGGGGGAAGAGGACGACGGGGGGTGAGAGAAGGGGGGGGGGGGGATGGGGGGGCACTTGTGTAATGGTGGCACGGAGCAGCAAGAAGCACGGTGGCTCGCAAGTCGTCCCCCACCTGCTGCCACTCGTGGTGCACATTGGGGGGAGGGAAAGAGCCAGGCGGAGGGGGGGGAGAAGGGGAGGACAAGGCAAGGAGGAAGGAGGTGGGGGGAAGAGGGTACATGTGAAAATGACGGTACGGGGGCAAAGGGCAGCACGGTAGCTCGTGACTGGTCCCCTAACTGCTGCCGCTTGTGGGAGATGTGCTGCGAGCACCACTCACAATGGCGGTGCAGCCGCCTTCCGCTGAACCAACTGGCTGTGCTTAGATGCATTTTTATGCTGATATGCATTTTCATGGTTATATGCAGTTTTATGCTTATATGCAGTTTTATGCTTATATGCATTTTTATGCATATACGCATTTTTATTATTCTTGTGCTAATGCATTCTTAGAAACACGTGAACATACAATAATCCGCGGCTGTTCGTCCATGCATTACAACATGCTTGACGCCCTCATCATGCGTATGCACGAACACATATGCTTGCATCATGCCTCACAACAAGTCGTGCTCACAGTGGGCCGTGTGCTCACAGTGGGCTCTATTTAGGGGATTGAGGTTGTGGTTTAGGGCTTACAATGGGTTGTGTCGGTGCAACAGTCCTCCGCTGACCCACACAGCCTCGGGGAACTGCCGGGCCAGCACCTCCCCAACGCTCTTCTTGGTGCCGGTCGGCATCGTCGCCGCGACAAACACATACCGCTTGCTGCGCTCATACTCCCTCCTCCTCCTCCCCCACTTGCCCCTCCTCCTCTCCTCCTCCCTCTCGTTCTCCCGCACACTCACCACAACCTTCCCTGCTCTCCCCGCTGCTCTGTCTCCTTCTCTCTCCCTCTCCCCCAACCGCACTGCTGCATCTAGTAACGCCCGATCCCCCCCCTGCTTCTCCCCCTCCACCCCCTCACTCCACTCTCTATCCGCCACCCCGTACCCGTCTCCCTCCTCCCCCCCCTCCTCCTCACTCTTCTTGGGGTTGTAAGCATCAGAAGCTGAAGACAAGTTACCAGCAGCAGCACCAGATGAACCCAAATCCACTCCTCCCCCTTGCGCCTCTTCCCCTGACTCTAGACCTTGCCTCACCCCTGCCATCCCCTGGCTCACCACCACCGGAACCACCTCGGTCCAATGCACCTCTTCCCCCTCCTCCTCTCCTTCCTCTCCTGCCACCCTGGCAGCATCTCCTTGTGCCAGCCTGGCAGACCGACCTGCCAGCCTGGCAGCCCCCCCTGCCAGGGTGGCAGACCCGCCCGCCAGCCTGGCAGCCTCGGACCGCTCCTTCTCGTCCAATCGAAACAAGCCAAGCAGGCGCCCCACGATGCGTGCATACCCCCCACCTAGCAGCATGTCAGCCTCGTCTACTACCACCAAGGCTACATCCCGCACAAAGGCGGAGCGGCGGCGCTGCTTTGGGTCGAAGGCAAAGAGATGATTGAAAAGGGCGGCTGGGGTGGCGACTACCAAGTCAGGGGGGGAGGTCGGCCAGCCCTGTTTGGGAGAAGGAGAGGGAAAGAGGGAAAGAGGGGAAGAGGGGAAGGGGGGAAGGGGGAAGGGGGAAGAGGGGAAGAGGGGAAGGGGGAAGAGGGGAAGAGGGGAAGAGGGGAAGAGGGGAAGGGGGGAAGGGGGAAGAGGGGAAGAGGGGAAGAGGGGAAGAGGGGAAGAGGGGAAGAGGGGAAGAGGGGAAGAGGGGAAGGGGGTAAGGGGGAAGAGGGGAAGGGGGAAGAGGGGAAGAGGGGAAGAGGGGAAGGGGAAGAGGGGAAGAGGGGAAGAGGGGAAGGGGGAAGGGGGAAGGGAGAAGAGGGGAAGAGGGGAAGAGGGGAAGAGGGGAAGAGGGGAAGAGGGGAAGGGGGAAGAGGGGAAGAGGGGAAGAGGGGAAGAGGGGAAGGGGGGAAGGGGGAAGAGGGAAAGAGGGAGCACATGAACTGGTCGAAGGCAAAGGGATGGTTGAAGAGATGCTTGCAATTGGAGCACTTATATATATATATATATATGTATATATATTTATTTATTTATAGGACTCTGTTTTCTAAACGACTCGGTTTTCTTATTGACTTGCTTTATAAGTTTATCATAGAGTCGACTCAAGCAGATTCCGCTGCAAGTGCAACAATTTGATTGGTAACACCGAATGAAAATGGAAACGACTGTAATAAGCATGAAAACCAGTGTTAGTGCTGTGGGACGGTGTGGCCGGGCCAAGCCGGCTAGATAGGGCTGTGGTGCGGTGCGGTGACACAGTAACCATGTGACGAGTGTGGTTACTAACTTGGGCAAGTGCACTATTCTCTCACCTGCCCGCCAACCACAGCCTCCACTGCCAGCAACGGGCGGTTGTCAGACGAGCGAAGAGAGAGCGCCATCTCCATCACCTGGGGAATAGGGCCGAGGTTGGGGGGCAGGTTGAGAGACAGGGTGGGGGACAGGGTGGGGGACAGGGTGGGGGACAGGGTGGGGGACAGGTTGATAGGGTAACCATGAGACCCGGGGACATGGGGTTGAAAACGAGCTTTCACTGGCGGTTGTCGGACGAGCGGAGAGAGAGCACCACCTCCATCACCTGTAGGGGGAGCAAGGGCGGGGGGAAGGGGGAAGGGGGAGAAGTTTTTTCTTAGTGAACTCAGTAGGCAACAGCCGATTGTCAGACAACCGGAGTGAGAGCGCTATCTCCATTGATCTGTGCAAAAGACAACATCAATAAAGAGAGAGAAAATCCTGGTTCATTTCCTTCTTTCTATAATTTCAACATCTATAGACATACAACAAAAGGTCAACATATGTTTGGTTCGCCCAGACTCCCACCCGCCCTCCCCCATACCCCTCCCATGTTATTCTACCCACTCTCCCCTCTCCCCCCCTCCCCTGTCGCTTACCCACCTGATGTCAGAAAAGCAGCATTGGGGTACAACACAAAAGCGAATCTGCACTCTACTCCTCACTACACCCTCACTCCCCCATCCCCCGTCCCCTCTCCCCCTCTCCCCTGTGGCCTGTCAGTCACCCACCTGGCGGCAGAGAGCAGCATTGGGGCACAACACCAGAGCAAACTTCCGAGCTCCCACCCTTCTCTTCCTCCTCCTCTCCTCGCCCTCCTCTCCCAAACCCCCCTCACTCCTCCCCTCACGCAACTCCTCACTCCTGCCCTCCGATTCCTCCTCTGCCAACTCCCTCTGCCTCTCCTCCTCCCGCCACGTCAGCACGTGACTCAGCAGAGGTGCCAGGTAAGCATGCGTTTTCCCGCTGCCCGTTTCGGCTGCCACCACCACGTCAGATCCGGATAGTATCTGGGGGACAGCGCCAGCCTGCACAGTATATCGAGTACATTTATAAGGGGGATGGGCTCGAATGAGGACAAAACTTACCACTGCTTGTTCCCAGCGACAAAAAGGCGTCAAACCCTGATAGTCCGGACTGCAATCAGCGCCAGACTTAGAAACCCCGCTTGTTACAAGCCTGAACCCTAAACCCTCAAACCCCCACTGCACGACCCCTAAAACCCGCTGCAAAAGCCACAAAGTCCCCCCCTCCCCCCCGATTCCCCCCCCTCCCCAGTTCTGAGGCTCACCTAATCGCCCACGGCCGCTCTAAGCCACGTAGCCAACCCTTCCTCCCCCTCCACCTCTCCCACACACACGACACACCCCCTTCCCCAGTTTGAGGCTCACCTGTATGGCTGACGGCCGCTCGAAGCCACGTGGCCAACCCTTCCTCCCCCTCCACCCCCCTCCACCCCCCTCCACCCCTCCCAATCACTCACACCCCCTTCCCCCGTTCTGAGGCTCACCTGAATGGCCGACGGCCACTCAAAGCCCACCTCACGTGCCCATCCCTCGCCCACCTCCACCTTGCGTATCTTTCCAAACCCACAATTCGACCAAATCCCAAGCTGCAAGTCCCCCAGCCCTCACCTGTATGGCCGACGGCCGCTCAAAGCCCGCCCTGCCCATCGCCTCCCCCACCTCCTGCTGCAACCCCAGGTCCTGCCACGTCACGCCCACGTCAGCAAAAAACACGTCATCCCACCCCCTGACGTCCAATCTCCCCTCGTGGAACGCACCCTCCGCCGCTCCCCTTCCATTCCTCTCCCCTCCCTCTGCTCCCCCTTGCTGCACTGCACCCTCCGCCACTCCCCTTGCATTCCTCTCCCCACCAGCTTCCTTTCCGCCTTCAGCGCCAAGCCTTTCACCCTGCGCCTCCACTGCTCCCACCTCTCCAGCCTCCAACCCTCCTCTCTCCCCCATATCCCCAACCTCCAACCCTCCTCTCTCCCCCATATCCCCAACCTCCAACCCTCCTCTCTCCCCCATATCCCCAACCTCCAACCCTCCTCTCTCCCCCATATCCCCAACCTCCAACCCTCCTCTCTCCCCCATATCCCCAACCTCCAACCCTCCCATCTTCCATTCTTTCGCTGCACTCGCACGCTTTCCCCCGCCTCTCTCTCCCCACTCTCTCGCCTCCCTTGCCCCTTCTACTACTGCGTCCCCAGCCGCAGCATCAACTGCCACGTCAGATGCCGCCACCTCAGATGCCGCCACCTCAGAGGCCCCAACTCTCCGCCCGTCCCCCTCCATTCCTTCTCCCTCCCCCTCTCTCCGCCCTCCCCACCCCCTTCCTCCTTCAAATCCCCCCTCACTCTGCCTATCCGCTCCCCATCTCCTGCCACCGCTCCCCCTCCCCTCCCGCTCTGCTCGCGACTCCCCACCTGCCCGCTCCTTTCGCCCATAGCTACTGAATCTGCTCACGTCACTTTGCCTCTCCTCGCTGCTCGCCCTACTATACGCCCCTACACCACGCCTACCCTCTCTCTTCTCATACCCTTCCTCTCCCCTAAACCCCTCTCCCCTGAACCCGTCTCCCTGAAACCCCACTTCCCTTCCCCTAGAGCGATCTTCACTATCTCTCCTAAACCCCTCTCTGCTACCGCGACCCTCACTACTTCCAAATCTCTCTCGCCTTAAACCCTTTGGCCTAAAACCCTCGCTCCTCAAACCTTCTTGGCTAGAACCCTCTCGACCAAAACCATCTCGGCTAAAACCCTCTCCCCTGACGCCCTCCCTCCCACCTCGCTCCTCATACCTTCCAGCACTCTCACCTCTCATCCTATCCTCCTCGCCCCTAAACCCCTCTCTCCCACGGCGATCACTGTAGCTTCTAGCACTTCCACCACCTCTCCTGTCCCCCTCACCCCTAAAACCCTCTCCCCCTCTTCTATCCCCCTCTCCCCGAAAGCCCTCTCTCCCCCTTCTATCCTCCTCGCCCCTAAACCCCTCACTCCCTCGTCTATCCTCCTCACCTCGAAACCCCCCTCCCCCTCTCCTATCCACTCCCCTAAACCCCTCTCTCCCTCTCCTCTCCTCCTCTCCCCGAAACCCCCCTCTCCCTCGCCACTCTCCCTCTCCGCTAAAACCCTCACTTCCCCGCCGCTCTCTATCGCCCCTAAAACCCTCTCGCCTATTTCCCCGTTCCCCAGCCCCCCCAGTGTCGCTCCCACCGCTCCTAAAGCCCTCTCTCCCCCGGCGATCGTCATTGCCGCTAAAACCGTAACCCCTGCTTCTCCCTCCTTCACGTGGCTCCGGCTCTTCGTCAGCCCTTCCAAAACCCTCTCGTCCCACCCCTTTCGCAACGAACGCGTCCTTTCGGCGATGCTTCCCCGGATCAGCCTGGCGGGGAGACGCGTCGCGTGCACTAAGGAAACCTGACCGCTTAGGTGACTTCTCCATCGACCCATAAGTCCCATCGCGAGAGGAGGACTTGCCAGTCGAACCGAAAGTCCCATCGCGAGAGGACGAAGCGAGCGGGCGACCGAACCCTTGACGATTAGGTGACTTCTCAGCCGACCCAAAGGTCCCATTGCGGGAGGATGCGGCATGGGCACGAACGAACCCTCGACGGTTAGGTGGCTTTTCAGTCGACCCAAAAGCCAACTGGCGGGAGGGGGAGGAGCGTGGACGAATGGACCCGGGACGGCTTTGCTGTTGACCTTTGGCAGATCTTGGAGGCGAATCGAATCTGGATCGGGAGGCGGACGCAAACGCACGAATGCTGGAAAATACACCACTTCCCGTGGAATAATGTTGGATAAAGCGAATGCTGGATAAATTCCCGATCCGTGAAGAGGCAGCGCGTTCTGGGGCTCGGAATTGCATGGCCGTTGCTCGCCTGCCTATGCATTCCGATAAGGCGGTAGAGAGGGGACCAGATGAGCCACCTAGTCTAGGAGTGACGTGGGATGCTACGGAAGATGCAAACGGGGCTGATACAAACGAGATCTGACGACATGATGCGACTAACGCGGCGCTACGGCTGGCCATGCCGTAGGTGATTGCAGGCTGACGTGGCAAGCCAACTATTTTGTCGCAACGGGTGAATGCGAGATGCAGCCGCGCTGAGAGAATTCGTGAAGGTAATCTAAGCGCCCCTCGTGCTAGGTAAACAGCTCCCATTAGTGAGCGCCTGTGCAAGAGTCACGCGTGGGTGCAGGAGGATGGAATTAAGCCAAAGCTCGGCTCTTTATGGGCGTGTCCCGTTTTAGGAGATTGAATGAGATCTCCATTGTTATAACGACTTCAATGGAGTAAGAAACCTCGTGGCCAATGTTTAGGACATTGGCCACCCGGTTTCTTGCCCCAGAAGCGAGCCGAATAAAAGAGAATAATTTATAACCCCTTTATTGATATTCAAGTCGGCAAGACTGGTCAGGTAAGATATAACATAAGCATTACAGAAAACATGATTGATTGGGCTTTCCGAGTTATCAAAAGTTAGTGTAATGCATTGAATCTGAGCCCATAATGATTTTTTCTCTCGCCGCCACTATACACACGACGACGCGGTCCGCTCTGCCACTGTCACATACTGTACGCGGGCAGGGATGCAGATGCTGCCTTCCCGCGCGCAGCCAGGCATTCCGTATCCGAATCCCGATTGGCTAGACATCATACACAAGCGAACTGTCAGCATGCAACCGAACCGCGCAACGAAGCGAAGCCGTAGCTCTCAACTCGATGTCTGTCGCGGGACAAAATCCCTGTGGCGACGTTCGCGAACCTGTCAATGGCTGGATCGCGACAGTGCGTCGCAATCAATCGCCACCTTCGTCCTTGCAGCCTCCAGCCGCTTCGCAATTTCGGCTGGCCTGACGAAACGGAATTCGCGAGTGCCGGGTGTAGGAGTTTGACGGCGACACCAGTCTACCTCTTTGAGTTCTTCTTACCAGTCTTCTTGGCAGGAGGAGAGGGATCTGCTCTGCACTGCAACCTCGAGATTTCGCTGTCATAGGAGTTTCCAAGGTCGGACGTGCTGTACAGCCTGAGTGGAAAGCTCTAGCCAGGTCCCTCGGGGTTCGTCGCTGCAGGAGAGAAGTTGACTCCTCAACGAGCCAGCGTAGCCGGAAAGCCAGACAGACTTTTGATCGGCCACTTGCCTTACAGACAAGTGAGAGTTCCTCGGGAGGTTCTTATCAGTGGCTTCCTCTGTAAGATTCACGGCATTCGCTTTTGACCGTCAATTCTGACAGCCAGCTGTCTGTTCCACCCTTTTTCTGAATCTATTGCGATATTCGGCGGGGTTGGCGCGCTCGATTATAGTATCCAGTTCAACCCGTTTCTAATACTTCAGCGCACGATCCCCAGATGTTATCGTTCGCGAGATCCGAGCAGTGGTCGTGAAGCTCTCAAGTGGCTCTCTAGTTTTAGTGCCGCAACCGGCAATCTGCTCTCTACTCTATATGCCTCCGCGTAGCTTCAGCAGTACCAATAGAGAAGAATTAAAGAAGTCTCGACTCTATTCGACCCAGTTGTGATTAATAGGTGGCAGCTGAATTGGCAGCTTTGGCTTAATACTCGTTACCAGCAGGCTCGTTATCACCAATTACTGCCCAGCAACGAACGCTTCAGAGAATGGAGGCGGCCACGTCGGCTCGATCGCGACCGACGGCTCTATCAGTGTCGGCATCAGCTCCTAGCGAGGCCTCGGGAGTCGCGCACACGCGACGGCCGTCAGGTACGGTCACGCATCACGCATCGAGGTTCGGGTCTTGTGGTACTTTGAGATCTGGAACTACAGTCCAGGGAGGTCACAGATTGATTTTTTAGTCGACTGAAAAACCATCTATGGTCACGCATCGTGCTTCGGGTGTTGTGGCTCTTTGAGATCTGGAACTACGGTCCAGTGAGGTCACAGATTGATTTTTTAGTCGACTGAAAAACCATCTATGGTCACGCATCGTGCTTCGGGTGTTGTGGCTCTTTGAGATCTGGAACTACGGTCCAGGGTGGTCACAGATTGTCTTGCAAACACTTCAGCCGTCGGATACGGTCACGCATTGTGGTTCGGGTGATGTGATATACCGAAATGGGGAACTACGGTCCAGGGAGGTACGGAGATTATTTTTCCTCTCTTTTTTTGGGGGAATTCTCAAAAAAGGCCTACAATTCTTCAGGGAGGCACAGCGAATGGGGGCAGCCAGTCGTATTTTGAGTCGACTCAAAATACACCTGGACAATTCTTCAGGGAGGCACAGCGAATGGGGGCAGCCAGTCGGCTCGAACGCCATTGACGGCGCTTTCGGTGTCGGCATCAGCTGCCAGCGAGGCTTCAGGAGTCGCTCACACGCGACGGCCGTCAGGTACCAGTGAGGGTCGAGGGAAGTGATTCGTCTCAGAAGCAGAAGCAGTCGCTGAAGTCGACTCAGAAGCAGTCGCTGTCGGCATCAGCTGCCAACGAGGCTTGGGGAGTTGCACACACGCGACGGCCGTCAGGTTCGGTCGTACCAGTGAGGATCAGGGGCTGGTGATCTGTAATACAGGGATTCTGGAGTTATGATCCAGTGAGATGATGTGTCGTTAACGGATTCTGGAGTTATGATCCAGTGAGATGATGTGTCGTTAACGGATTCTGGAGTTATGAGCCAGTGGAATCCGTCGCGCGGACGCGACGGCCGTCAGGTACGGTCGTACAGTGACATAGGGTCGTTCAGTGAGGTTTAGACGTGTAATACCGTGAGGATCAGGGCGTTCGGAGTACATTGAGCCAGGTCATTTAGTAAGTGATGTGTCGTACACGGATTCAGGCTGTGATTCAGGGAGTATGATCTTCCTAATTTTTGAAATTGAGATTCCTTATCTTTTAAATTTCTTCTCCTCAACGGATCATTGCTGATTTTCATTGGCCAGAGCCGTTTTACCGGGCAGGCCGTGCTTCTCGCCTTTTCTCCTTATCGTCCGTTCCTGAACCCTTCTATTCCTGCTCGCCCCGTGATGTTCTCTTCCTGCTGCCGCAGCCGGCAATGTGCTCAGCGTCTCACCGAACAGCACCCCTCCCAACCGAACCCGGTCTCGCTCCCTCTCGGCTCTAGTAACGGCCATGGGCGGCGGGAAGGCAGGCGGCGCCGGGATTAGCGGGGGAGCTCGGCGGCACGCGACCTGGTCGGCGGTCCTGGTGCTTGTAACGATGGTGGGCATTGCCACGTGGGACTCATGGCACGCCGTCAATCGGAAGACATGTGAGCTCGTTATGAGAAGTCCATCTGTCCGTTTTCTTTTACATGTGAACTTTTGTTTTCCCGATTATGGATCCACATACCTAGATTAAGTTGAACTATGACAATAGTTCACCCCTCAATGGTAACGATGACTCAGTGCCAACTGGTATCCGTCCCTTCCCGTCCTCCGTCCCCTCGCCGCTCACTCTCTTTCGCTCTCCTCTTTCTCTCCCCTCCTTCCTCTCCCTCTCTGTTTTTCACCTCAGGGTGGAGGAGAAGTCAACTTGTGCTTCTAGACAACGCATCCCTCTCCTCCTCCGCCTCCTCCTCCCCCTCCTATAGTCGCATTTCGTCCTTGCAGACCCACGACGTACCCTTGCACAGCGAGCAAGGGGATCTGAGTAGCCAGGTTGGAGTGATGAAGTCGGCTCGGTCCCCCCTAAGTGGTGACTCGGTACTGGTACTAGCGAGCAGCTTGAAGAAAGGGTTAACTAGCCCGCCTAGTGCAGAATCCCGTGAAGCAAATGGGGACGAAGTCACTGGTGACTCTATAGGTGGTGATAGTGACGGTAGTGATGGTAAGGATAATAGCGGTGGTGACACTAGTGAGGATGGTAACGAAGTCGAAGCTGATAGAGGGGGGGAGGAGGCGAGGGGAGGTGATAAAGAAGGGGGTAGCGGAGACGAGGCGAGCGTTATTTCAACAGGCATCTTGGGAAGAAAAGGAGGGAAGGTGGTTGCAGCTGCGGCAGACGAGGCAGAAGCGAGCGAAGGGACAGAAGCGAGCGAAGGGACAGAAGCGAGCGAGGGGACAGAAGCGAGCGAAGGGGGAGAAGCGAGCGAAGGGGCAGAAGCGAGCGAAGGGACAGAAGCGAGCGAAGGGACAGAAGCGAGCGAATTAAACGAAGATACAGATGCAGTAGAGACGGCCGATACTGGTGGTGACTCCTCGAGTGTAGGGAGGGCGGTGGAAGAGGAGGTATCTTCGACTTTGCATGGTGTTTTTGAGAATTCTCAAAAACACCCTACAGATGCGGTAGAGACGGACGATACTGGTGATGACTCCTCGAGTGTAGGAAAGGCGGTGGAAGAAGAGGTATCTACGGCATCGGATGCTCCTAAAGACGCAAGTGATGCTCTCAATGACGCGGATGAAGCCTCATCCACCGCCAGCAGCAGCCACAGCGCTAGAAGTAGCAGCAGCAGCAGCAGCAGCAGCACCGGCAGCAGCAGCAGCAGCAGCACCGGCAGCAGCAGCAGCAGCAGCACCGGCAGCAGCAGCAGCAGCAGCAGCAGATCCAGCGGCATCCCTTCCTCTTCCTCCGCCCTTACTCAGTCAACTCCGGATTTCGCCACCTCTTCCCCTTCACTCTCCCCCGCCGCTCCCTCCGCCCGCTCCGCCCCCTCCGCCCCTGCCGCCTCCCCCGCCTCCTCCGCCTCCTCCGCCCCGCTGTGCGACCTGTACCACGGGCGGTGGGTGCGCGCGCGGCAGAAGCCGCTGTACTCGGGCAAGAAGTGCAAGTGGATCGCGCCCAACTGGGCGTGCGCGCGCAGCAACCGCCCCCGCGAGATGCGCAAGTACGAGCGGCTGAGGTGGCAGCCAGAGGGGTGCAACGTGAAGCGGTTCAGCGCAGAGGGGTTCTTCAGAAGGTAAGGAGGAATGCGGGCAGGATCCGGGCTCGATGTGCGCCTTTCTTCCTGGTGTATTTTGAGTCGACTCAAATACACGAGGGATGAGGGCAGGATCGGGCTCGATGTGGGCCTTTCTCCCTCTGAAACGCACGCAGCAAGTGGGGTGGCAGCAGGCGGGGTTCTACAGGAGGTGAGAAGGAAAGAGCTGGATTTCACCTAGGTGACTTTTGATCATCTAGGTGACTTTTGGTGCTGTTGCTCTTCTCTCCCCCTCCATGATCGCCTAGGTGACTCTTGAGTCGACTCAAAAGTTCCCTCCAACATCACCTTCTCCATCCAAAATGCGCAGCGAGCACCTTGCTGTGTGTAGGAGACCCTCGGCGTTCAGCAAAGGGATGGTGATTTTTGAGTGGACTCAAAAATCAGCCAAGATCAGAAGCGAGCCGCTCAGCGGCCGCTCCAGTCGCCCCTCTGCGTGTCTCTTACCCCTGACCCATTTTCTCTGACCTCCTTACTCTCCCCGTTTTTAATGCGCAACAAGCGCCTGCCCTTTGTACGAAAGCTCTGGGTCAGAGCCCTTGCATACCGACTGGCCTTTGTAAGAGTTCTAGTAGTTCTTCAGCATGTATCTCTTGCCCTAACCCCTTCGTTCTGGCCCTTCCTGTTCCCCTTTCCCTAACTCAACCCCCCTCCCACCCCCCCCACCACCACCACCACTCCCCCCCACCGCCATTCCAGAATGCGCAACAAGCGCCTGGCCTTAGTAGGAGACTCTCTAGGCCAGCAGCAGGACCATTTGCTCGTTGCTCATTCTGCTCGTTGTTTCCCCTTCCCCCCCACTTTCACCGTCCCCTCTCCCCTCCCCACAGGATGCGCAACAAGCGCCTGGCCTTTGTGGGAGACTCTCTAGGCCAGCAGCAGTTCCAGTCGCTGCTCTGCCTGCTCTCCCCCCAAGGCCCCCCCAAGAACATGTCCGACCCATCCTCCCCCATCCAAGACGTTGGCCGTGACTACGGGTTTTTTCAGCTGCCGGGCGCCCGCCGCCCGTCCGGGTGGGCGTATAGATTTGTTGAATCCAACACTACAGTGATCTTCCGGTGGACGACATGCTTGTGCGAAATCGAGCCGTTCAATAAGGAGGATTGGCAGCAGGGGCAGGCGATGCACCTGGACCGGCCAGACACTTTCCTAAGAGACTTACTTAGGGAGCTGGACGTGGTTGTGATGAACACGGGGCATCACTGGAACAGGGGGAAGATGAAAGAAAGTGCGCTGGAGTTTTTTCTGAATGGGAGTAAGGTGCTGCCGGTGAAGAGGAAGCCCATGGTCATGGCAGTGGCACTGCGCACGGCAGTCCGGTCGGTGTCTGTGTGGATCCATGAGCAACTCAAAGGTGCCGGCAATTCTCTTGCGCGGCTCAAGCCGGGAGAAGGAGTGGGAGAAGGACAGGAGCGGGAGGGGGAGGGGAGGGGGGATGATGAGGTGGAGGATGGTGGGAGTGGAGGAAGGGAAGGGAGGGTGGCTTTGGAATCTGTGGTTGAGCTCCCGGCTCTTTCGTCGCCTACAGGCACCGAGTTAAGGACAACGATTTTCTCGACGCCAGACACCAAGCCGATGGTGTTCCTGCGGTCGATTTCTCCAAGGCATTTTATGGAGGGAGATTGGAACTCGGGAGGGAGGTGCGACCATCTCAAGGTAAGGTTGCCTCTCAGCTGCGTACGAGCTCCTTGAAAATGTGTTTGTCTCATAGACGATCTGATTTTTCACATATCCGTATGGTACATGACGTGCATGGTGTATTTTGTTGGTGAATTTCTTATTTCTTGTGCATGGCAGCGCGCCTTTGGGAATGCCGAGGTGGCCAATATGACAACACGGGATGCTGATAAGGAGGATGGGGTGTCTGGAACGTCGGTCCACCTGCTGAACATCACGCATCTGTCAGCCTATCGTGGTGATGCGCACCCTGCTGCCTGGGATCCTCGATTTGATACGCCCAAGGGGCAGGATTGCCTTCATTGGTGCTTACCAGGTGTTCCAGACACCTGGAACGAGCTGGTTTACACACATATTGTGGAGAGGGAGCGTATAGAGAAGGAGGGAGTGAGTGTTAAAAATAAAAAAGTCATAATTTAATATAGGCGTGGTAGGTTGTTACTGAACCTTTCTGTAGAGGGTACAATCCCCTCCTTGTCCTGCTCTCTCTTCCTAATCGTCTCTCTTCTTTCTCGTCAACTCTTCTCCTCACGCTCCTAGATCTACTTTCCGCACGCCATTCCATGGCGCCCTTCCTTCCTTCCTAGCTAAGCTAGGGTCCTAAGTTTAGTTCCTATCCTAAGCTTCTTTGATATGGTATCAGAGCAGGAGGTCCTTCCTACTGGACCGCCTACTCACGCTTCTCGCACTGCCATGGCGCTCGTGTCGTGCCGCTGGCCGCGTCGTGCCGCGGCCGTCTCGACGCGCTGCTGTGGCGTCGCGCTGTCGTGCCGTCGCTTCCGCCGCGCATTTCTCTCGTCACTGCCTTCCCGCCGTGGCGGCCATGCCGGCCTGTCATGGCGGCTTCGTCGTGCGGCCGTCGCCTCCTCGACGCCCTGCCGTGGTGGCGTCGACGCTTTGCCGTGGCAGCGTCACCTTGCTGCCCTTGCAGCGTCAGCGTGCCGCCACAGCGTCGACGCCGCGCTCTGGCGGCGTCGTCATGCTGCCGCGGCAGCGTCGATGGGCGGCAGCGGGCAGCACGCCGTCGTAACCGCCACCTGCCCGCCCTCCTGCCAGTAAGCGCCGCGCCACTTATGGCGCGTCGCTGAAGACTCGCCTCGCCCCGCCCCCTCCCCTCCCCCCCCCCCCCCCACCTGCACCTGCTTCCCCTGCATCCCCCCCTTTCTTGCTGCAGCCGATGACTGCCTCATGAGGGCCCTCTCCACCGCCGAGGAGACTGGACATGCCGCCGAGAGGGCGGGGGCCGCTGCACCGGCCTCTGACGTTCAAGCCGCTGCCGCAGCCGCTGTTGCCGCGGGCCTGGTGTCGTCGCACGCCGCCGACGCCGCTGTTGCCGCGGGCCTGGTGCCGCCGCACGCCGCTGCCGCCGCCGCTGTCGTCACTGTCGCCGTTGCCGCCATTGCCATCTCACGGGCCGTGGGAGCTGCCCTCTTTCGGAGTCGTTGCGGCTCCTGCTGGGAATGGGGGTGCTGGGCTAGGGGGTGTGGGTGTGGGGGTGTGCGTGGGCTTGACACTACCAAGCCTAGGGGGTGTGTTAAAATTATATAAGTGATAATTTAATATAGGCTTGGTAGGTTGTTACTGAACCTTTCTGTAGAGGGTACAATCCCCTCCTTGTACTGCTCTCTCTTCCTAATCGTCTTGTTGGAAATATCTCAAAGGACTTGAGCGTTTCTGAAGTGTAACACTGTACTCAAGGAAGATTACAGGGGAGCACGCGAGTCAACGGAGGTTACACGAGGGGGCGGACAAAGAATGCGAAAAGACTCGAAAGGTCGCAACTGGAGGTTGCGACTGACCGTTACAACATCACGGATGGTAACCGAAGCGGCAATCGAGTCGCTGTGCGACTCGATAAACCGTTCCTGTAACTGTATTCTACAACTGCCTTCCTATCTTCTATATATTGCTGTATGCTTGTTTCTTTAATCAATCACTTGTTCTCACATACTAGTACAAGGGTTCAACTGCCTCAACTTCCGCTGCACTACTCAAGTCTCATTCTACAACTGGGACTTAGTCTCTGGAAAGATCCTAAGGGCTTTTCTTAGCCCAACACGTCTCTCTTCTTTCTCGTCAACTCTTCTCCTCACGCTCCTAGATCTACTTTCCGCACGCCATTCCATGGCGCCCTTCCTTCCTTCCTAGCTAAGCTAGGGTCCTAAGTTTAGTTCCTATCCTAAGCTTCTTTGATAGTGAGTGCCATGTAGGCACCATAAGCGTTGTCCCTAAGCATTTACCGTATATACATATTACTGAAGTTGTGTTGGCTGGTGCTGTAGCATGTCATCAGGGCCTCAGACTCAGACATGCTGATCCATCAGCCCCCCTCCATTTTTTCGCTGACCACTCCGTCTTCAACCCCCACTTTAGGCTGATCAGCTAAATTTGCCCGGTGCTGGAGGAATACAGTGCTGGATTCAGGGTGCGCCCCTGAGGCATCAGTGTACACTGTACACTAACAAGAGACTCCGAAGAAGGGTTGAGGGCACATCCTTGCACATTGGAATCAGGATCAGACTTGAAAATATGCCCTTAGTTAGCAGCACAAAAAACTTGCAATATTAGGACCTGCATGTCATTGCTATATTGACGTCGGATAGGACGAACGGTAAAGCGCATTTGGTATCCCTGAAGGTCTAAGGTGATGACGTGATGTATGGTTCAAATGCTTTAGCCTTTTCAAGTAGAGTTGTGGTAAGTGGCTTGTAATTCGTGGGACTTCATCTTATGCTTAGCAGATGTCTGTTTCGTACTTGTGGAACATTCGCGATTGATATCGAGCAAAGCAGAAGCGGATTAGTATGCCACGTGCTGTACTTGGCCTTCGATTCGGTCTAGATAACGTTCGAGCCAGCGACCCTGGTCGGGAATACTCTCGCGTGCCGAACCTGCGGCACAGCCACAGCAACTGGTTCTGTGCAACACTCCCAAGCAGGATATTTTACTACTGTACTGGTATACGTTTTTGGAAGAGTGTAGTATTATACGCCTTGGAGGTCGCCCCTGACCCCCGAAGTGTCAGAATGTCGGGCCTGGTAGTGAGGGTTCTCAGAACTCGGCCTGTGAGTGGGTATTTTCGATCGCGGGCAGACATTAGTAGCATTCCAGCAGGGTTCTAGGTAGATTCGACATTACCCGCATTTCCGTGGGATGACCTTTACATGACCCGGGCCCACCCGAGCCAGGTAGGCTGGTCTGACAAGCCACCGATTTTCAGCCAGGGGTCCCTCGAATAACGGCGGGAGGTATTGTAATTTGTACCTTGTGACCGAGCCTATCATCCCGCCGAGGCTCTCTGTAGTCCACCCACTTACATTCACCCTTAGCCACTAATTTCGGGAGAGACACACGTACTCCCACACACACACACACTATCCAAGACACACTCTCCCACACACTCGAATACACACACTCACCTCATGAGTGTTATTCTTCCCCTTGCCTGCCTCCTTGCTAGATTCTTCCCTTCCTTCTTCCCTTCTATTCTTCAACCCGCCGTTTCAGTGAGGCCGCATCTTGTCCAGTGACGCGGGCGATTAGATGATTGGCGTACTGTAGACGGTGCAAGCAGGAGCAGCCTGAATTGAGAGAGCTTCTTCTTGTTTGACCTTTTTTTGGTTGCTTCTTTGATACATAGCGGAATGCAGAATGCTCGATTTGCTCCCCGCAACCTCTATCAGAGGTGCTTTCGTTCTACAATTCGCTTTGTCTAATCCACTGGTTTAGCAGAATTGACGCCGCTTTAGGAGTACGTGCCATTAGCTCGGTGAACCTGCTTCAGAGTGGTTTAGCAATGGTCCGACATTTACTTGCCTGAACTTGTCACTCCTCCCTTATTCAGATTTATTCAGTAAGCTCCAAAATCGATAAACTACTTGCGTTAATGTCGGAAATGGATCTTTTGCTCCTACCAACGGATGTGATCGTTCAGATTCTTCACGAGCTAGATCACCAGGATCTCCTATCAGCTGCTGCCACGTGTCGCACGCTGCACTCCTTAGCCAATCTCCCGCAAATCTGGCTGAGTCTGTGCAAACAATGGGAATCCGACGTGGAGATTTCTGATTGGCTCGTCGAGACGAGCTCCCCGAAATGTCTATTCCGTTTGCTCAACGCGCTCGATCCATTGGCTGGAGTCTGGGCTGCTGATGACTTGGCTCCACGTGGCGGCCTGCTTTTCGCTAGCTGGGTGAGACCTTATTTAGCTTCAGCCCTGTTTATTGTCTTTCCGGCCGCCCATCTTTGCTGCATTTGTGTTTACGTTTGGTAATCAAATTGAAATCTCCGATGGATGAGGGGGGAGCATCTACGAGTTATTTGTAGTGACGACGACGTTAGCGAGACGCTCGACAAACCGTGCGGCCTAGTTGCTTTTATGCGTGAAAACGCCTCGTCATGCATCACCGTTTCTTACGTGGCTACGTTCCATTGGCATGATGTACTTCCGATGGCATCCCTGCTTTCTTTTCCTCCTTGTCTGTTTCCTGCAGGAAAAGATGTCCATGGTCGCTTATCGCATTATTCCAGATTGGCTTGGTAAGTTTTTCTTTTTCGTTTAGGCGTCTCAAACACATCTTCTCACCCGGGAGACGATGACCTTTGTCGCTTGTGAACGATGTGAATTTATTTCGGCAATTTCTGATTTATGTTTCAACCTTTTGTGCTTTCAAAACTCTACCCTCCACGTAGTCCGTGACTCTGCTGCGTGCAGTGGCCGTTTTCCGAGCGAATTGGAGCAATTCAAATGTCTGATGCTCCCTCGCTCCCTTAATTGTATCCTAACGTCTCTCTCCTCTGCGTGCGTCAGAGATTTATAAGATTTCTCGAAAGCGGATCTCAGCTCTGCTTCGTTTCTCCCTGCTCGCTCTCTGCTCCCTCTCTTTCTCGCATGCAGACGGCTCTCTCCTCTGCGCACGACTCTTCCTCATCTCGGCCTTCCCCGACGGAACAACACAGCTGCGTCTCTTAGCGGGTCGAGGGCTGGAAGAGGAGCACACAGTGGAGTTACCGGGTGTGCTTGTATGGGAGACAGCCGAGCGGCAGAGGTTTCACCTGCAGACCATACTCCCTGCTATTCGCCCGTCCTCTAGAGTCACCTCTGCCGGTCAAGTTACCTCAAGCAATCTTCTCACCTCGTCTGCCAGCTCGGTTGCGCCTAATGCTGCTGCGTCTGCTCCTTCTTCCTCTTCTGCCGCTGCCGCAGCTGCTGCTGCCGCTCCCTCTTCTTCTCGGCCGGTTGCAGCAGCTGCTGCTGCGCGGTTAAACCCCCTGCTGGCGCGATATATGATAAACGCTCCTTCCGATACTAGCACACTCGCTACAGGAGCTGCTGCTGCTGCTGGTGGTGGGAGTGCCAGTACTGCTGCTGGTGATACAACGAGAGGAACTGATAATGGCAGTTCTAGAGGGGGTGGCGGCGAAGCCACTGGGAGTGCAGACAGGGAGCGCAGCAGCAACGGCAGGGGAGGGGGTGCCTCTAGTGAGCAGCAGCGGCAGCAACAGCAGGAGCTCCGAGATACGCTTTTGGGCCGCCAGGTGTCAGGGGCTATGTGGCTGGGAGCAGAGGCTCGGGATCGCCCGGGCTTCAGAGAGGCGTCAGCTGGATGGACTGATGCTAGCCGTGCTGCTGCTGCTGCTCCTGCCCATGCCCATGCTGCTGCTGCTGCTGCGCCTGGAGCGGTCCATGCTCAGGCTGCTGCGGCTGCTGCTCGTGTTGCTGCTGCGGGTGCTACTGCTGCTCCTGCTCCTCATGCGACTCTTGCGGCGGCTCCTGCTGCTGCTGCTCCGGCGGCGGTGGCTGGCGGTGGTGGAGCAGGGAGGGGGGAAGCAAGGCTTCAGATGCGAGCGCTGCAGTACCTGTCGGGAATGGCAGGGGCAGGCAGAGGGCTTGGCCGCGGAAATACAGCTAGGAGCAACGCTGCCGGGGTTAATGCTGGTAGAGGGAGGGAGCACGGGAGAGGGAGCGAGGGAGGGAGGGGAGGAGCAGCAGAAGCAACGGATAGGGGGGTTGGGAGGGGTGGTGGTGTGATGGGTGCTGCGCTTGCAGGAGTGGGGACTGGGGCGCGAGCACCGATGCTGTTACAGCAGCCGACACTGCAGCAACAACAGCATAGGCAGAGTGAAAGCCCCCAGCAACACGCACAGCAAGGGGGCAGCTCGAAAGGTCCCCAACAGCAGCAGCAGCAGCAGCAGCAGAGCGCACAGACAGCCCTGGGTGCTTTCCTAGTAGCAGAAGGGACGGCATCTGGCAGTCGCGGTGGCAGTAGCAGCAGCAGCCAGGGTCCAGGCGGCAGCAGAAGCTCAGCTGGTGCAGGTGGTACTGGTGCGGGTGGTACTGGTTCTGGGGGCCACGGGTGGTCCTGGATAGGCGGAGCAGGGGGAGCGGGAGGGGGAGGATTTCAGGGAGGGGGGTTTGAGGGCGGGGGATTCGGGGGAGGGGGGAAGCGCGGAGGCGATAGGGGGATGGTGGATGAGGCGAGCGGGCAGGTGAGGCGACTGCCCGTGCCTAAGTCCAGCTACAGCCGAGTGCCCTTGACTCGAGCTGAGAAGGAGCGAGCAAGGGAGAGGAGGGCGGAGAAGGGGCAGGTGCGGGTGGGGAGAGCGAGGGAGGTGCGGGGAAGGGTGGGGGAGGAGAAGATAGATGGGGCGAGTGATGGCGCTGATGTTGATTTAATGGAAGAGGATATTCTGGGGGTGGAGGGAGGAGGAGGCGCGGGGATGGAGGGGCAAGAAGGGTGGATGATGGACGCTGATGGGTGTGCGGAGGAGCGGGGGGGAGGGAGTAGAGGGGAGGGAAGGAGAGGGGGCAGAGGAGAGGGTAGAGGTGAGGGTAGAGGAGAGGGTAGAGGAGAGGGTACAGCAGGTGAGGGTAACAGGCGTCCAGCAGTCGAGGTACCGGAGTGGGCGTATGAGCTGGAGGGGTTGTGGACGGGCGTGTATGGTCCGCACGGCGTGGAGATACTGAGTGTGCTTGTACAGGGGGGCGAAATTGTCGCCACTAAGATCACAGGTACGTTCTTGCAGGGGTCACAGGTAGGCTGGATCTTAGTATGCTTGTACAGGGGGGGCTGAGCGAGATCGTCGCTACCAAGATCACAGGTGGGGCTGGATGTTAGTGTGCTTGTAAGCGTTGTATATCCTTAGTGTGCTTGTACAGGGCGTGAACTATGAGTGTGATTCCCCCCTCCCCATTCCCCCTCAGGCGATCCCAATGTGCCCTGTGGTCAGGCCACCTTTAGAGCCCGCCTCGCCTCAGCACAAGGCTCACCTTGTGGGCCCTCCTAACTCGCCCCCCTCCATGCGCTCTCATGTCCCATCCGTCCCCCTTTCCCCTTGCCCCCCCCGTCCCTCCACCTCAGGCGATCCCAATGTGCCCTGTGGTCAGGCCACCTTCAAAGCGCGCCTCACCACAGCACAAGTCCCGCCTTATGGGCCCTCCTAACCCCCTCAATGCGCTCTCATGTCCCACGCGTCCCCCTTCCCCCCCTCCTCCTCAGGCGATCCCAATGTGCCCTGTGGTCAGGCCACCTTCAAAGCGCGCCTCACCACAGCACAAGTCCCGCCTTATGGGCCCTCCTAAACCCCTCAATGCGCTCTCATGTCCCACGCGTCCCCCTTCCCCCCCTCCTCCTCAGGCGATCCCAATGTGCCCTGTGGTCAGGCCACCTTCAAAGCCCGCCTCGCCACAGCGCAAGGCCCGCCTGACCCCACCGACTTTCCGCCCACGGACTCCCACCTGCCACGGGGGCCAGGGGGAGCACCGGTGCGGCTCACCCCCACTCGCAGTATCATACTCCCGCCTCCGAGCAACGGTGATGGTGCTGACAGGGGGGCAGGCAGCAGCAGTGATGCTGGTGGTGGTACTGATGGGATTCATGGGGATGATACTGCCATGGGCAGTGGTGACACTGCAGTGGCGAATGTGGATGGGGGCGGTGACACAGGCTGGGATAGTGAGAGAGCAGCGGAGAGGGAGAGGGAGCGAGCTGACAGGTGGCATAGAGCCACGGCGCTCGCTCGAGCTGTGATTCAGCCGGATCACGAGGCGGGGGCGGATGATGGGAGCGAGCTGCGATTCGTGTGGATGTAAGTCGGTTGTGTTGCTGGGTTGACTGTTAGAGCGAGAGGGAGAGAGAGGGAAGCAGAGAGGGAGAGAGAGGGAAGCAGAGAGGGAGAGAGAGGGAGAGAGAGGGAAGCAGAGAGGGAGAGGGAGCGAGCGGACAGGTGGCATCGAGCCACGGCGCTCGCTCGAGCCGTGATTCAGCCGGAGCAGGAGACGGGGGCGGGTGATAGGAGCGAGCTGCGATTCGTGTGGATGTCAGTGGGATGGTGTGCTTGGTTTCATCAGGTGAGTGCATGCTTTGCTGCGTTGACCATCAGAGAGCGGATGGGTGGCACAGGGCCACGATGCTGGCTTGCGCTGTGATGCAGCCGGAGCAGGAGACGGGGGCGGGATGATGGGAGCGAGCTGCGATTTGTCTGGATGTAAGTCAATTGAATGCTGGTGTTTTTTTCAATCAATTGATGCCGAGAGTGAGGGCAGCAGCGAGTGGGAGTGAAGGACCAGAGGAACCAGGCTTCATTTGTCCTTCGACCTGCACGCACTTGCCATTCTGGTAATTCATCAACCCCGCCCCGTTCTCCTCCCCTCACTCCTTCTACTGCCCCCCTCTCCCCTCCCCTCAAATACCCCCCCCCTTCCCCCCCAACCCCCCCTATTTTTCTTATGCAACAGGTGCCAGGGCCAAGGACGGGTGGCAGACTACAACTTCCGCCGCCCGCAGTGGGTAGACGGCTGTCTGCTAGTGGACTCTGCCGCCCGCATCACGTTCCTCTGGCAGGACGTGCACTTTGCCATCCGCTTCCGCCGTCTCGATCTGCAAAAGCTGGTCCACAGTGCATAAGTCACTTGAGCGGTCCACATCGCATAATTGCCTAGTTTCTTGGGATGTGCTGCAAGCGCGCTCACAGTGCGTGCTTCTCTTAGATCCAGGGTTCCACTTCTGGTGAGTTGCCTTGCCGCAGGACCTTTTTTTTTCACGGCTGACAGCCGGTTTATGCGGGCTCGGTTTTTGAATCGGGGAGCGGATGCAGCAGGAGCAGCTCCGTGGCTGAGTGTCTGTCAGCAGTTTTGGGGGAGCTTTGCTGTTCTGCTGGCCACTGTATGGTACTGTCTAACAACAACTGGTGCTGCCACTGTCTAAGACTGGCTAACTCTGATTCAGCGGCAACAGGGAAGAAGGAGCAGCAATCGCTGCTTCACCAGCAGCAGCGGCAGCGGCAACGGCAGCGGCAGCAGCAGCAGCACATGATCGGACGACATGCAATCTCTTCAGCCAATATGGCAGTCACAACTCTTGACTAACATCGTTTTTGGAGGACTGGCCCCGGGCTCGTGTGGTTGGTGGGACTGTGGGTGGTAGGAGGCATGTGGGCACATGCTCACGTCACATCCCATGTGTTCTCTTGTTCTCTATGGTTCACACCACATCACATGTGTTCTCTTGTTCTCTAGGGTTCACAACGCATCACATGTGTTTTCTGGTTCTCTATGGTTCACACAACTTCACGTTTCTTCGCTGTGGTTCACATCGCATGATCACATGGCACGTGTTCTCTGGTTCTTTGTGGTCCATTTTGTCAAACATATATTGTATGTTTCTGTAGACTATATAGGGTTGTGCCTTAGGCAGTACAATCCGTTAGGTTATATTCCCTTGTATGCCTTGTTCTAGACATTCTTTCACTTGAACACATTTCACATCACATGTGGCTCGCCACTGCCCTAGCCTAACAAACGCTGCCTTTCAGAGGCACTAAGTGTTAAGACTAGGAAGAATGATTAGAAGAAAGGTGAACAGGGGAGATCGTTTGGGTTGTACCCACTAAGAACATACCCTATCTAGCCTATAACTTGTACATAACAATATATCTACACACCCCCTAGGCTAGATAAGGGGTAGTGTTGAGCAAGAAACACGCAGCTCAGGGTGGCACTACTAGTCCAACCTCTGAGGCAGGGGCCCGAAGACCAGTCAGCAAGAGTACAAGCTATCAAATTGAAAATTGAATGTATGATAGAGTGAGAGTACACAAAGATATACCTAAGTGTTGTACTCTCTAGGAGGCGACCCTATACAGTCTATACAAACATGACAAATACACATGTTTGACACAGCCCCTAGACTGCATAGGGGAATGCCCTAAACAAACAGCTCAGGGCGGCACTACTAGTCCAACCTCTGAGACAGGGGTCTAAGAGACCAGTCAGAAGGAGTACAAACAAGGCAAGAACAAGGGCAGGGCGGCACTACTAGTCCAGCCACTGCGAGAGGACACAAGTCCAGTCTGAGTATACGTATAAAGGACAGTACAAAGTCAAGGTCCTAGCAAGTGAGAGGCTACAGGAACTAGACCAAGCTGTACACAGTGCCGCTGATGATCTTTAGGTGCAAGCGCCTTCGTAAAGATATCAGCCGTATTGGCACCTGAGGCCAAGTGTACTACGCGAGCCTGACGTCGCTGCTGTAGTTCACGCAGGAGGAAGTACCGCAGCTGAATGTGCTTCGCTCTACCCTCGAGTCGAGGCTCCTGACACAGGAGGATCATGGCCCTGTTGTCAGCGAACAGGACCGGGGCCGAGCTAGGCCGCTCACCTAAGTCAGTGAGCAAGAAGGTCAGCCAGCGGAGCTCCTGTGCCGCCATGGCACCAGCGTAGATCTCAGCCTCACAGCTGGACTGCGCTACAGACGAGGAGCGGGTAGCTCTCCACGAGACGGCAGCTGAGCCAAGGCTGAAGCAGTAGCCCTGGGTAGACCTGAGCGTCTCAGCGTCGTCTGCCCACGAAGCGTCTGTGTGTCCAGTAAGGACCACTGGCCTGCGTCCTCCTAGCACTAACCCCATGCCCGATGTACTAGCAAGATAACGCAGAACCCTCTTAGCGGCAGACCAGTGCTGCGGTCGGTGTCTGCCTGTGGCCACAAAGCGAGCCAGGATGCAGAGAGCGTATGCGAGATCTGGGCGAGTGCAACTCATCAGGTACATGAGGCAACCCACCAGCTCTGCGTAGGGGCCGCTGGGCTCTACCAACTCCTCAGACACTGGAGCGGAGAGTCTGTGGTCTACAGGCAGAGGGGTGGGCTGTGCAGAGGAGAACTGAAGGCTGAACCTCTGAAGGACCTGGCGCACCAAGTGTGACTGAGTCAGGGTGATGGTGCGCGCAGCTCTGTCCCTGGAGATCTGCAAGCCAAGGTAACGGCGCAGTTCTCCAAGGTCAGTGCACGTGTGTCTCTTCAGAAGCTCTGCCTTCACGGAGGCCAGTGCGTCCCTGTCTGCTGTGGCAAAGACCAGGTCGTCGACGTAAACAAGGATGTAGAACGGAGTCTGGCCAGCACGAACGAAGAGTGAAGGGTCTGCGGAAGACGGAAAGAACTGCAGGTCAGCAAGGGTAGCACGAAGAGTGTCGTGCCACTCACGAGGAGCCTGGCGCAGGCCGTAGATGGGGCGCCGCAGGAGCCACTGGGTACCAGGAGGGAAGGTGCCAGTAAAGCCCGGAGGGCGACGCAGGTAGACCTGCTCGTGTAGGCTGCCCTGAAGGAAGGCAGTGGAGAAGTCGAGGGAGTGAAGCTCGTAGTCACGCTGAGCCGCTAGGTGTAACAGAACCCGAAGAGTAGTCATCTTCAGGGTCGGAGCGAAGGTCTGGAAGAAGTCCACCTCCTCGCGCTGGCTGAAGCCTCTAGCCACATAGCGCGCCTTGAAGACCGGCGGCTCTCCAGGAGGGCGCTTCACCTTGAAGAGCCAGCGGCCATCGACTACGTTCACCCCAGGTGGGGGAACTGCGTCGACGAAGGTGCCGGTGGATCTCCAAGATGCCATCTCCTGCTCCATGGCAGCTATCCACTGCGAGGCCCAGGGTCCCGAGGTCGCCTCAGCGTAAGTGCGAGGGGTCGGGATGTCGAAAGCGTCTGGGTCACCCTCAGGGACTAGCAGCATGGAACAGAGATGGGGAGCAGCCTCGGAGAGGAAAGCAAGCTCGAACTGGCGGTCCTCCAGGACGTCACTGCCAAGGGCAGGAGCACCCCCGACAGACGGAGGACAGGCAGGGTCAGAGACAAGAGCGGAGGCGTAGTCAAGGCGGCGGGTAGAGGCGAAGTCAGCGACAGCAGCAACAAGGGCGTCAAGGCACGAGGCCGGAACAGACGGGTCGGTAACGAGAGAGGCAAGGACGCGAGGAACAAGAGGACGAGCGGCACGAAGGTAGTCAGACAGCGGGGGGGGTGCAACAACAAGGGAGGATGGAGGAGGCGACGGCAGAAGGGGAGGACGAGACGCGTGGGAACGAAGCAACATAGGGTGGGAGCGCAAGACAGGCGAGGCAGGACGAGCACGGGAGGGACGGTGAGACCAGACGTGCGACGGAGGAGTCGGGGCAGGAGACAGAGGAGGGGACACAGGAGGGGAACGAGGGAGGAGACGGGCCGGGGACGAGTCCGGCGGAGGGAAAACAGGGCCGTAGACAGGAAGAGGAGGAGACGGTCGGGGAGGAACCGACGCAGGGTCGGGGGACAGCAGGCCGAGCAGGCGAAGGGCTGACACCGGCGGGGACTGCTGCTGCGGCGGCACAACGGCGACACCGGGACCGCAAGCTGCTCCTCGGCTACCCCCGGCACTCTCCACACCAGCACCCCCAGAGGGACCACCCCCAGGGCGACCGGGACGAGCACCCCCAGAGTCAGCGAACGGGTGCTGCAACGGCGGCGGCGGCGGCGGCGGCAACGACGGCTGCAGCGGCGGCAGAGGCGGTGGAGGAGGGGACTGGGGAGGGGACGCCAGGGGAGGGGCGGCTGGCGAGGACTGCACAGGAGGGCCACCAGAGTCAGACGACTCCTCAACCGGGTCCACAGACGGAAGGGGGGTGACGTGGGACACACCAGAGGGGGCGGGACGGAGAGGAGGAGGAGGAAGGGCAGGGACTACCGGGGAAGGAGGGACCAGGAACAGGGGGGGGTAACCGGGGGAGCACGGTGGGGGAAGCGACGGTAGTAGGAGACGGACTCGTCAAAGGTGACGTCACGAGAGTGAAAGAAGCTGTGAGACGGCGGGTGGTAAAAGTGCCAGTCGGACGCGTCAAGGGGAAAACCGAGGAAGACGCAGGGAAGGGTGCGGGCAGTGAGCTTGTCCGTGCCGGAGGCACGAACGTGAGCAAGGCAGCCCCAGACGTGGAACGCAGACGCGTCACCAGGAGACCCAGTCCACCGACGGGTCGGCGAAACCTGCGGCTGCTGAGGGTGCGGCCACAGGTTAAGCTGGTGAGAAGCGTAGCGCACAGCGAACCGCCACAGAAAATGGGGTGCACCGGCATGGATCATGGAGGTGCGAGCCACCTCCATGACCAAACCGATGCGTCGCTCAGCGACCCCATTCTGCTGTGGGGAGTCCGGTAGGGTGAACGTCTGGGTGATGCCCTCCGCACGACAAAAGCGACCAAGGACACCTGAGGCAAACTCGCCACCACGGTCTGAGTGGAGACGTAAGACAGGGAGACCGCGGTGGACACGCGCAGAGACAAGCCAAGGGATGAGAGCGCCAGGCACGTCAGCCTTGCGCTCCAGGGGAAAGACTGTGGTGTAGTGAGTGAAGTCGTCGACGAGCACAAGGAAGTAGCGCTCTCGACGCGGCCCAGGGACGGGGGCGGGGCCCCAGACGTCCAGGTGCAGGGTCTGCAGCGGCGCGGCGGTAGGGGGAAACGAGGAGGAGTGAGGGGCACGGCGAAGCCGACCCTCGACGCAAGGCGTGCAAGGTGGGGCTGAGGAGGAGGGAAACGCAGGGAGAGAACCTGGGAGACCAAGGACAAGACCGTGCTGGGACATGTGACGCAGACGCGGGAGCGCAGGGTGACCTAGGCGGTGGTGCCAAAGGAGGGTCGGGTGAGTGAGAGACCGACAAGAGCAGGCAGCAGCAACCTGGGTGAGCGCTCCAGCCGGGGGGGTCACGGTGTCCAGAGTGAACAGGCCGGACACCGGGTCCCGGGGGAACGTGGACAGGGGGGCACCAGTGGCGGCCTCGGTACAGACAGCATACCGTTCGTGACCAGGGAACGTAGTGGTGACGCCAAGGTCCTGGAGGCAGCCGACACCAACTAGGTTCCTGGAGAACGAGGGGATATGCAGACCTGTAAGAGAGCCCGAAGGAACCGCCGGACAGGGAAGGGTGGTGGAACTGCGGGCGACGACCGGACCGCCAGAGGGGTCAGCGAGAGAAACGGCAGCAGGGACGGAAAGCGGCGTCAGTGTGGTGTAGTCGCGGAAGAAACACCGAGAAGCGCCAGAGTCCAAGGTGAAGGAAAGCGAAGCAGAGGCGTCTGGCGACGGAACGACGGCGGAAGCACCAAGACTACACAAAGCAGGGGATCCTACGCCTGACGCAGCAGGGGAGGCTAAGCAAGGCACACCTACACTAGGCAACAGTGAGTAATAAGCTGGAAGCACACTAGAGTCATCAGCATACATCACATGCAGAGCAGAAACAATGGCATCCATGTCCATATCAAAGATCTGAATCTTACGACTAAGCAAACTGTGCCAGTCCGGGAGGTCTGGCAACGGGCCGAAGCGCTGACGAAAGAGGTCGTCCAGGCGACGAAAACAGCGGGGAGTGGAGTGACCGATCTTACCGCAAACGAAGCCGCGGCGAGGACCGGTCTGGATCTGATACTGACAGCGCCCGCCGCCAGAGCTACCACT